TCGTCATCTCGAAATTCTCCTCGTGGAACGCGGAATACCGCTCGGGAGCGCTGATGTTGTGTTCAAGCGCGCTCCAGCCTCTCAGCATGCTTCCGAGCGATGGCGCTCTCGGATTTCCAACGGTCGGAATCCGCCGGCATCAGCCATTTTGAAAAGGGAAGAGCCGCGCGAGTCCTCTGTGCATCATTTCGCTGTCGAATTCGGGATCGCTGCAATCTGTGATACGCAACTGCCACAGCCGTGATCTCAGTGAATTCATTGTGTTCTCCGGACTCTCAAGTTGATATCTGCAAGATGGCTGAAGCCGGACCAAGCAGGAACCACCGTTGGGAAGAGATGATCTCCTGGGGCGTCTTACCTTCCACCAAACTGGCGAGGACCACGTGGCGTTTCAACACTTCCCCCACACTCTTCCTTTTTCAAAATGGCTGATTCCGGCCGATTCCGACCGTTGGAAATCCGAGAGCGCCATCGCTCGGAAGCATGCTGAGAGGCTGGAGCGCGCGCTTGAACACAACATCAGCGCTCCCAAGCGGTATTCCGCGTTCCACGAGGAGAATTTCGAGATGACGATTTTCGTAGGAAAAAAAGTCGTCGGATCAAGCCGCTGACCCCCAGATCGGGTGAATTGGCCCTTTTAAGCACTTTAGCCATCATGAAAATTTTCGAATTCGGCTTCCCTGAGGAGTTATCGACTGAGTTTAGCGACAACCCGGAATTTTGGTAAATTTGTCCAATTTTCAAACCAAAGTTTACCCCCTCCGCGTTTCCCCCAGGAACATGGTACCTGAATTTTTCGTATGGCATACCTCCGCCAGGTTGTCCCGCGTCGAACGCAACCAGGTTGAGCCCGATAGACCAAGCGGTCGCCGAGAAAGAGGCGTTTTCGTGGAGCGACGAGAAAAAAGTGACCGATCATTTCCAAAACGCCCGCAACAGGTGATACTGGCCGAAATCGTCACCGCTGGGGACGGAATCGTGTCAGTCAGGGCGAGAGCTGTTGATTGGTGGGTTATTTCATATAGTTTCATCCAGCCGTTCAAAAGTTAGGGCCGGGACGAGCAGAGGGAAAAAAAGTCCCGACTAAAAATGACCACCCTGTACTCTCTAATGAATCGGAAGAAACTGAGGAGGTACGTATTGGCAGGTACGCTCGAGAATAAGTACACCATATCCATGGAGATGCCATTGAGAATGTCCCTTGATCTCGTATTCAATATTCCTTTTTTAGACCCGGTTTCCCAACTCCGATTCCAGGTGATCAACCTCCTTTCGCTCGAGTGGCCCACCTTCGATCCGACAAGCATATCGATGGATTATGAGAAGGCCCGCATGAATTCCTTCAGTTTTCGTCTGCCTGGCGCTCAGCTACGAGGCTGTTTTTTACACCTTGTACACAATATGGAGAAACAACTTTAGGCTCGCGGTCTCAGCGAAAAATATCGCAACGAGCCGGAATTCGGGTTGAAGGTCAAAATGTGCTCCGCTTTCGAGTTCGTTGCTCCGGGAAGGCTCGGGGACGCTCTCAGAAAACTCCGCAACGAATCGCCAGATAAGCTGCAACCGGTCCTCGACTATTTCGAAGATACGTACCACGATCGACTTCGAGTTCGCGACGACGGTTCGTGGGCGCGACGGGACCTTTTTCACCCCTTTCCATGTGGACTGTCTTTGAGCGCACGCTGCGAGGGGACAGTCGCACCGAAAATTACGCGCAGGCAGCTCATAGGAGTTTCCAGCGCCAATATCGCGTCGAGCGTTTTGGCATATGTAACTTCATCGACGCAACCCGGAGCGAAGAGCAAAGAAAAGATGCCGACCTGGACCGATACATAGCTGGGCGTCCCAGGCAGGGCAAGAAAAATGAGTACGTCGAGAACGACCAGGAGATTCTGCGCATCCTCGGGACTCTTGACACGAATACCTCGACAGAGACGATTTGGGGCGTCGCCCATGCGTATAAAATGAATCCTTGAGGAATGAGTCCTCGGACCTTTCTTTTCAGATCGACCGCCCAAGCTTCGGTGGATAGCGCACGAGGAGATGAAGGATAATTGACAGCTGCTTATGAAGTCGCGGGTAGCGCTGATTGCAAGAAAATCAAGTCGAGTCTTCCTTCGAATCTCCTTCTCCAGTCCATGTCGGTTCAACTGAACCCCCTCCATGACCGAACTGTCACGGTGGCCGAGAAGTCGCAACTGCCGAGCTGACGTATTGGCCGAGTGATCTCCGCGGCCGAGTAGTCGTAGTGGCCGAGAAATCGTAGTGGCCGAGAAGTCGTCAGGACCGGGTTGTCCCTGCGGCCGAGGTGTCGTTGACCGTCTTATTTCTCATAGTTCCTTCCCACAGGCTTTCCCCGTACTTCCCGCGAAGCATCTCGGGTAGAGTTCGTGAGGGAGCTAACCGCGGACACGCTCTGGAGGGGAGCAAAAACTCGAACAAGATTTTGATATTCCACGGCACAGCCCGAGGGAACTCTAGAGGTCTTCGGTCGTTCGACAGAACGCTTTCATCGGATTCTGGGCAAGCGGATCACTCGAGATTCTGGATCTTCCCGGGGGAGAAACGGGCGAGATCCCAATACGGAGGGTCTCATCGAGGGCTCGAATGGCCAAGGGTAGCCGGTCGTAGCGACAGCCGGAAGCGGTTCCTTCGCCTAGAGGAGAGCCCGGGCGTCTCGTATCATTATCTAGCGTATATTGGATTTCGCTCGAGTCGAGTTGCGCGCTACCAGCTCCCGCAGCAGCAATGATATTAAGAAGCTGAGTTTGTCCGATAAGGATATTTTATCCAAGATGCTTCCTCCAGGTCGTGGGTCGTGGATCCAATTGTCATTTTGCTTTTGCCTAGCTAGCCTCGCTCGTCCGGAGTACAGATGAGGGACGCGATCAGCCCTTTACCTACAGTATTTCGAATTTTCGCGCCTCCTCTAGCATTCAAAGCGGCGATCGCTCAGTTTCTTTCTTTCTCTGAAATTCGTCTGCTAGCCTTCGAGGGCGATCGGAAAATCCCTCTGTTTGGCCAGCATTCTCATAGAAGTTCTCCCCGAGAAATGGTAAGAAACGTCAGTTCTCAGGGGTGATAATTGTCATCTGAGTGATGGGGATGAGGTGTCTCCGCGGAATTAGAGTTTCTTCCTGCACGCGATCGACCTTTGGAATGCTTGTCTAAACACAAACGCCCCCTCGAACCCCAGGGATATTTTTCTGAATAATATTTTCCCCTTACGAATCCGAGAACTTCGTAGCTCCCTCCTACACTAACTCTGGATCGATAGCTCTCACCTTCTGCTATGGGTTGCTCCAATGGAACGGTTCAAGACCATCTGCTGTAGCCGCAAGATGGATCATGATGATTGTCGCCGGATAGATCTCGAAATCTGGTCGGATCGCTTTCGTCGCTTCAGATCGGAGTGGGAAGCTCTTTGATTGCGATGTCGCTTGTGTTGGAAAGTCACAATTAGATTACAAGCTGGGGTTTCCGGTCCGTAATGGGTTCGTTGATTGTCGATGATTTCGAGAACGTCATGTGATTTCGAACGACTTAGAGTTCGTCCAGGTATGACTCATCTAACCGAAGTTCCATTCTCTGTTCCACGAACAAATAAGTATCAAAAAATTTAAGACATAAACTCCGTCTCTGTTTTGCGAACTCGGCTAAATAGCAGTCTGTGCTTAGAGAAGGGAATTAGGATGCTCTGTATGACAAAGAAGGCGAGTTGCTCCGTCCGCGGAAGGGTTCTATCCGGAGTGGGGAACCAAAATTTTTTGAATCGACAGTAACCGTTCCCATTGGATTTTCTAGGCTCTCTTCGGGTTCGGCCAGAGCGCCGACATTGACATCGTTCTCGATGGCACTCAGACTCGACCACTCGCAGAAATTAAAACCGAAGAGGGCAAGAAGGAGAAGCATTATCTGTATTACGACGGCGAGTCAGTCTCCGGTGAGTTTATATCATTTGGAATCATCATCATCGGTCTCAGGATGGAATATGTATCATGAAGCTTGACGTGGAGAGGGGGGCATGATCGCTTTCCTCCCTACGCGATCTCTGACGTGGACTCTATCCACATCCAGGCAAAGTGAATATTTCGTTGCGCAAGGCGGGCTCACGCTTGGAGCACCAAGGCATCAAAATAGAATTCATCGGCCTCATCGAGTTGTACTACGACAGAGGCAACCATCACGAGTTCACATCCATCTCAAAGGAGCTTGCGAGACCCGGGGACCTCATCCAAAACACCAGCTTTCCTTTCGAGTTCCATAACGTAGAGAAGCCCTACGAAAGTTACACCGGAGCGAATGTTCGACTCAGGTGAGAGGGAACGAAATTTTATCGAGAATATCGGGTGAAAATCTGTCGCAAAGAGCTCCGGCTTCTGACATCTACGTTCACGGTCAGCCCAGAGATGGAAACGCGATCGCGTTGTCGAACCCCCCCCGCTTTGCCCGTACGACCTTCTCGCGCAATTCATGTGAAGGGTAACTGAGGTGGAAAAATGTCCTCCTTCCAGATATTTTCTTCGAGTGACAATTGTTCGACGACTCACAGACACTGTAAAAGAAATGGAAATCGTTGTCCATACGCTATCTTCGTATCCCGATATGAACTCAAGCATCAAAATGGAGGTCGGAATCGAGGATTGCCTCCACATCGAATTCGAATACAACAAGAGCAAATATCACCTGAAGGATGTCATTGTAGGGAAGATCTACTTTTTGTTGGTGAGTACTAGCACTTGATTCGTGGGCTGCCCGACGCGAGACTTCCAAATCGTATCGGTGAGGAATCCATTCGAGAGATCGCTTCTGAAAAAATCTCTGTCGCGAATCTCAGGTGCGCATTAAAATCAAGCACATGGAAATAGCGATCATCAAACGTGAAACGACCGGCGCCGGGCCGAATACGTTTACGGAAAACGAAACGATCGCGAAATACGAGATTATGGATGGAGCCCCTGTTAGAGGCGAGAGTATACCGATCAGGTCAGTGCTCCGAGCTCGGGCTCAGCGGGGCGGGCACAAATGCTGTCTAGTCGTAGACCACGGTGCTATATCCTTTGGATTAGAATGATGGAAACTCGTGACCCTCGACAGATTGTTCCTCGCGGGCTACGAATTGACTCCGACGATGAAGGATATCAACAAGAAGTTCTCAGTGAGGTACTATCTGAACCTTGTACTGGTAGACGAGGAGGAGCGAAGATACTTCAAACAACAGGTTAGTGAACTTTGACTCATTCTGCGCGAAAACTTTCGGAACTATGTCGAGGTGTTCCCCATTCAGATAGAACGAGGAGAAAATCATCCAGAGAGCTTTTCCTCCCGCGGCTCTGCGCGGATACCAGCCTATAATCGTCTTCTCACTCCCTGTCCTCTTAGGAGATCATCCTCTGGCGTAAAGGAGAGAAGGTTCGGAAGCCCGTGCAGATGATTCAGTCGCCTCCTGTCGAGCGTCCTGTTACCCTGTCGACACCTTCATCACCACAATCACTTCCCGAACAAGATGGCGAGAAGAACTTCACCCGCGAAGATCAGGATCAGGTCAACCCTCTTCCACTGCCATTCCCCGTTAACAAAGAGAACGTCGCCGTATGCAATAGTGACGGGGAACAGTGAGTTTTGGGCTGCGTTCTGTCCGCGGGTGTCGTCCTCTGTAAATTATTCTATTGAATTTTACCTATTATTCATTGCCGTCTCGATTATGGATGATGAGAGAAATAATAAAAACTGCAACAACGACAGCGAACTTTTAGCGAAGACAGCAGGAATTCTCCCTGATCATGTGGATACCTTCATCCAGTCCTTTGATGTAGAAGGCGTCTTGAGCGAGGCCGACTGTGGTGCTTCGATTGAAGCCGCAGAGCGCATCTGCGATGTCTTGACTGCTCAGCCGGGCCCTTCATATCGAACTCGGGCATTCGAACCACCGCGTTGCCCGGTATCAGTCTCCGTAGTTGAGATAATCCCGAGAGGGTGTATTGTCGACGACTGGGCTAGCGGTTGAATCTACGAGGGTCGCCGGCGGTCGGGAAGAAATGCGAACCTAATCGAAGAGGGGATGCCTGATCGGGGGAAATTGAGCCAGAGAAGTCGGAGCTGGTCGCAGGTTGTCCTTGGGTATGCTTTAGACGAGGGACGGAGCCCATTGATCTTGATCGAGCACTATGCCAGGAAGGATCCAGGGATCTAGATTTACCGCCGAAATAAGCTGCTGAGTTGCGCGACATTTCCGCAGAGCTTGCGACATGACGTTCCGATCATTCGCGACTGGCTGGTTGATTCAATTCGTGTCTGGCTGTCCGGACGAAGACTGCTGACCTATGACATGAACAGCTTCAAAGCGAGATCCTTGTCGCTCAATCTAAATTTGGGGCACGCTCAATCAGGCACGGGAGAAGGACTGCTCCTCAAAACTGAGATTGAGTGTCAGAATCCATAAGACAGCGAGATTCTTCAAGTTGGGGAGTCGACCCATGGATTCGCGGCAGGTCGTTGCATGCTCGGTAGATCGCGACGATTCGCCGCAAAAATGTTGGTTGCCCTTATGGAATTCCTCTTCACTAGAAATGAAAGTTGATCAAGAATCTCTGAAGAACAGAAGTACTTATTTACTGGGTAATCTTTTCAACAGCCTATGCAACAGATCGACATATTTTCAAAAATACGTTACTAAGATTATTATTTATCTCTTCGCGAAATCGTCGCTGTGGCCAATTCTGATTTTCTATCCTCCGGTCGGTAGGCGCATTATTCAATCAGTTCAGCGTGCCTGTTTCAAGGAGCTGCTTCACTTGTTTCGCATCGAGGGTTTCGTGTTTCATCAGAGTTTCTGCCAACAGCCTGCAAAACAAGGTCGACAATCAATGGCCACGACTCGTACTCAGGAGATCTCGACACGGGAATAGTTGCGAGTATCTGTGAATGTCTCCATCATCCGGAGATAAAATCGAGGTACTCACTTCAGTTCGGTCTGATGCGTTCTCAGAATGTTTTTAGCTCTCTCCATGGCTTCATGGAGAGTCCGCTTGATCTCTTGGTCGATTAGCTCGGAGGTCATGTTGGAAAGCTGCGTGTTCTGTTGCCTTTCGAAAACCCGTTCTCCAACCTTATCCGACATACCCCAATCCTTGACCATACATGTAGCGAGTTCGGTAGCTTGCTGGAAATCTGCAGAAGCGCCTGTGGTGATTTTGTCCGCCCCGAAAGTCAGCTCTTCCGCGGCTCTCCCACCCATTGCGGTGTCCATCGTCGCCATAATCTGGGACCTTGTCATGTGAGATTCGTCTCTCTCCGGGAGGTATGCCGTATGCCCAAGGGTCGAGCCTCTTGGGACGATGGTGACTTTGTGGAGCGGTGTAGCCTCCTTCGAATAGTAGGCCACCAAGGCGTGTCCGCTCTCGTGATAAGCCGTGATCCATATATCGCGTTCCTGAGGAATTCGGCCCTTCGTCTCAGCTCCCATGTGGATTTTGTCTCTTGCGTCCTCCAAGTACGCCTGTGTGACGAAGTCCTTCCCATCGATCGCAGCTCTCAGAGCGGCCTGATTGACCATGTTCTCGATTGCGGCACCGGTGAAGCCGACTGTTTGCCGCGCCAAATTCCTCAGGTCGACGTCCCTATCAAGCTTAACTTTCGAGGTATAGTATTCGAGTAAGCTCACACGACCCTCATAGAAAGGAGCCGGAACCTGAACTTCGACGTCGAAGCGACCTGGTCGCATCAGAGCTTTATCTAGGTCGTTACGCCGATTGGTCGCGCCGAGGACGATGACTCCCTCGTTCTGACGAAATCCGTCCATTTCAGTCAAGAGCTGGTTGATTGTCTGGTTGGCGTAGGGGTGGATGGCGGAATTGGATCGGTGAGACCCGACGGAATCGATCTCATCGATGAAAATCACGCACGGCGCTTTGTTCTTAGCGCTCTGGAACAGGTCCCGCATCCGTCGAGCGCCTTGACCCACGAGGAGCTCGTCGAACTCCGGACCCGAGGCGTGGAAGAAGGGGACTCCAGCTTCTCCCGCAACGGCTCGAGCGAGGAGCGTTTTTCCCGTTCCGGGCGGACCCACCAGGAGGACACCCTTAGGCAGCCTCCCACCCAGCTTCGAGAATTTCTCTGGATTTTTGAGGAACTCGACGATCTCCTGGAGCTCCTGTTTCGCGCTCTCTACACCGATCACGTCTTCGAAGGTGACGTCGATCTCCTGGGGCGAAATTTCATTTGGCAAACCGATGATGACTTTCCTCAATTGGAAGAAATAGACAAGAAACACAACGGTCACGAGAAACATGAGCACGTTCACCGCATCCCGCATGCGTGACGATTTGTATGGCGAAAGTCTGTACCCTTCGAAAAACGCGATATGCAATCGCACCTGTTCCTCTTCCGATATGCCCTTAGTTCGGAGCAGGGTTTTGAGAACGTCGCCTTTCTCTTCATTTTTCGGCCCGCCCTCTGTGGCCGCCAGAACGGTCTCCAGTACTTTTCTTCTATCGCCTAGATCGCTTTTGCTGAAGACGTCGCTTTTGCCGTAGAGATCGCGAGCTTGCGCAGCTTTCGTTTTGAAGCCTCTCGAGATAACTCCCCTCCGAACCAGGCTCTCAGATATATTCGTAAAATGAGCGCAGCCGTAGAGTCCGATGTGCCTGCTGTCGAACGTCGCCGGCCATGCACAAGAGTTTTGCACAGTGAGTTCTTCGCGGAACACCGGTGTGTAGGAGAGTGCCCTCTCGACTTCGACGCGATCGAGCAAGAGCGTAGAGCACAAACGGGTTTTACTGAACCATCGCACCGTGTTCTGAGAACTCCGGGCTTCAGCCGAGAGTTCAGGGTTGCGCACTCCTTTCGACGAACGGGAGTTCAAGAGGATCCGAGGCGCTTTCAACGGAGGTTGGAGGAGGGCTGAATGTGGGGAGAACATCGCTGATTTTGAAGTCCGCAACCCCCTCAAAACGTCACAATCCGGTGGTCACGGTAAAAATTTCTCGAGCGATTGTGATCCTGCGCGTGTCGGTCACTCGCTCGCGAGATACTTCTCATTCTAACCCGCACGAAACAAACAGACTCAGCCATCGGGAGGTCTTTAAGGAATTTCGTCGCGTAGACCTCATCCGCCTGTTGGAGGCACTAGGCTCCTCGGGAGAATCGCGTTTGCCCCCATTCCGATTCATCTCATCATCGTTTTGGGGCCAGATTCGGAATTCGCCGATTGCCGTGGCTCCCGGGGTATGGGGGAAGAATTCCATGGCTGACTTGCCGTTTCCCGCAGCACCCGGAAACGCTGAAAGGATCAATCCTTTCAACAGGAAAACAAACGGATACGGTTCCCCTGGGAGCCTTGCGGCCAGATAATCCCCAGCCCCACCTTGATCCCCTCGGATGAACGTCTTGATCCGAACTTGATCTTGAAGAGATGTACATATAACGAGCTTAATTTCGTGACTCGAAGGGAGCGAGGCGGTAGGGAGTAGGAGAACATGGCCGCCCGGGAACAGAGGAGGTGAGATCGGGGCAATACTCGATAAGCGCGTCGCAGCGAGCTGAATAAACCTCGGAGTCGCTCCAGCGTGATCCGATATGACTTGGCGTGATGCAGCGCGTTTCGAGCACGGACTGAAGGACCGCAGAAAATCCGAGTCGAAGGAGGAGACAGAGGGACCGCAACATCGCGCCGAATCTCCCAGCAAAGATCACGAGAGTCATCGATTCTTCGACAGATTTCGTTTATGTTCGGTTTTTCCTGTGCTTTCTGAACGAATCTCCCATGAGCTTCAGAAAAGCACCATTGTATTGCGCATGCATAAGACACCGCGAGAGTTTCCGCGTACAGCCAAACGAATCAGTTTCCAGGTTTCACGTCTGACTGACCCTAGCAGTAGCTTTTTCGTTTGTCCGCCATTTTGCATTCGAAGCCGCCTGCAATCGAGACACACACACAACAAACGGCGAGGCAACGTGCTTCTATTCGGACAGTTCCGTCAGTGAATAAAACAAGCCTTTGGAGCAGTCTTTACTCCAACGTGAAATCGGAAACCGCATCTCAGCATGGTGAGTCGTCAGATACCGAGAGCGTACGCAATTTCCCCGCGGCGATCTGCGGTGGGTGGGCTACGAGGGCTTATCCATGGTATGCCGGTCTCCCATATGCAACATCTGAGGTCCGGTCGGGAGGTGCTCCTAATTCGGGCTCTCCTAGGAGACGACTCGGATGATTTCGATATGGGAGTCACGGTCTCCCAACCCTTCGCAGCGAGCAGCGATATCGAGATCCCGAGATTCAGTGTTTCCTCCCCCCCGTTTTGAGACCTGATCGACACTCGGAAAAGCTGCGAGGGAATTAGACAATCAGGTGCTCGGTGTTTCCCTATTTGAACGGAGCCCGAATGCCCAGTCCTATTCGAGTGACGGTAAAACCGATTCGCTTAGGAGAACAGCTCTGCTGCGCGAGCGGTCCTCAGGTGACACCGACGTTCGATTCTCTCATCGGGACCGCCCTGCTCCCGGAGGAATAAAGATTTTTTTGTGATTTTTCCAATCCCCATTTTACCGGAGTCGTTTTCCACTCCGGAGCGATCTCTTGGACGGAGCTCTGTCATTTGCCGGGGAAGAGAAGCTCTCCGCCATGGGCAGGGAAAATGCTCCGAGACTGCGTACATCTCCAGGAGGGGGCTAGGGATGACTCAGCGACCGAGTGCACAAAATGACTCCTTTCTCTTCTAGCGACCCCTGCTACTACAGGGCCATGAGAGGGCCATCACTCAGATCAAGTATAACCGAGAAGGGGATTTGATCCTCACAGCAGCCAAGGACAATAAACCCAACATTTTCTTCTCCGCTAACGGGGAGCGCCTAGGGAATTTGATTGGACATAATGGTGCTGTCTGGTGCATCGATGTCAACTGGGACTCGACGCGCATCATAACCGGCGGTGGTGACGGTCAGCTCAAGCTCTGGGATTTGGAAACTGGTAAGTTGTGTCCCTCGGATCCAAAGACAATTGCCACACTGTGCTGTCGGCGAGGGGGGTGTCGAGCCTGGTTTTGAAGTTTTTTCTGTTTCCAGGCGCATGCATCAGCACCATCGATAACACGACATCAGCACGTACGTGCGCCTTCTCGTATTCGGGTCGCTATGTCATGTACTCTACAGATAACACTATGGGCAAGGACTGCGAAATCAGAATCATCGACTTCAACGACCCTCAGCAAGTTGCCGGTCATGGACTCATGAAAACATCGGTCTGCACATCCACTCAGAAGGGTAAAGTCACAGCAGCACTCTGGTGGAATCTCGACGATGGTATCCTGACCGGACACGAGGACGGCTCTCTGTGCATATGGGATCTCAGAAACGATCTTGACAAAATTCAACGGGTCAAGGCTCACCGCGGAATCATCAACGACATGCAGTATAACAAGGACTCCACAATGGTCATCACGGCGTCCAAAGACAACTCCGCCATCGTGTTCGACAGCGACACGCTCGAGGAACTGAAGAAGTTCCCAACTGAGCGACCAGTGAACTCGGCGGCCATCTCGCCCATCTTCAACCATGTACTCCTCGGAGGAGGTCAAGAAGCCCGAGAGGTGACGGTGACCTCGGCGAAGCAGGGTAAATTCGACGCTCGTTTCTATCACCTGATCTTCGAGGAGGAGTTCGGGCGAGTGAAGGACCATTTCGGTCCCATCAATTCCGTTGCCTTCCATCCGGATGGCAAGAGCTACGCATCAGGGGGAGAAGACGGTTTCGTTCGAGTCCATCATTTCGACCAAACTTACTTCGAGTTAACATTCGAAGGAGAAGACTTCACGCCTTTGGAAGGGGGGAACTACTAGAATAAAATTATTTCAACTCTTCAAATTCCGCCCCGACTTCTTGCTAGGCTAAGCCTCAAAAAATTTGAAATTCACGAATCCATGCCAAGAGTATATAAATCGAGGCTTACGAATAGATGCGTAACTTTTCCCCGGCAATATTCTGCCAAACTCGCGACATTCCGCGGTCTCACTCGATTCCCTCCGGAGAGTCGCCTGCGGGGTATTCACGAGAAAGTTAGTACCTCCCGCGTTTCTATGTCATTCGTTCTCATGATTAATTAGATGATTGTATTCCATGATTCGCAAATTCCTGAGAGTTGCTTAGGAGCTCATCTTAATAACGTCGGAATCGAGCTCGATCAAAATTTACGACCGCTCACGATGTGTGGAAGACACCGATATCAGTCTCAGAACCTTTGAACGATCATCATTTTTTTACGACTGGATCTCTCTCGACTAGCGACAATTGTCCTCGAGACAGCAGGACTCGGATCACCAATCGACTTTCGGCCACCCATCGATTCTCCCCAGCCGCCACATACTGAATCCCGCTCGTGTAGTTGCTTCATTCCCCATCCTGAAACTCGTGAGCGTTCCGAAGATTTCCCTTTATCATTGGCTGATCTCTGTGCGGCTCCCTGAAACCATCGTGAAGTGAAGGCAGCCTGGACACAGAAGTGAGCTCAGTGTGGTCGGTCAACAGGTTCCACAGGTTCCATTTCCCAGTACGTTTCTGGGGAAGGGTAATATTCGGAGAGCATGGCGGGCGAGAACGCCCTTCGACGCCGGGTTTCTCGCGGCCTTCCTTGATTAAGACCGTCGCCTCCTGCAGGATCGTATAGCATGTCCTCGACTTCGGTGTCGTCGTCGTCGTCGTCGCCGCCGCTGCCACCACCGCCGCCGTTGTACATCAAGCCCCAGCTAGTGACGCATGGCAAAGCGTGCATGATCTAAGGCAAGTTTCCGACGCCGAGCAGCATTTCTTGGTCAGATGGGAAATTTCGGTCGAATGCAGAACAGATTTCTGTCGGGTGCAGATACGAGGAAGATTCCCGGAAAAAGATCGGAAACCAGTCGTCTGAGCGTGCATTCGAGTTGCGAGTGCGGGTGGCGTCTTTTAGTACCGCTTGGGCAAACATCAGGGCAAACGTGTGCCTGCCAAGACAAACTGACTATCTGACCGACCGACTGACGGACGGAACGATGGGTCAGAGAAGTCGTCAGACTCGTCGTTGACCAAGTAAGCGACAGACAGTCACTCACGCACACACACACATATATTGATAGATGAAATCCATTGGATCTTCCGGAGTCGCCTGATTGATTCGCGATCCGTGCTCGAAAGACGCTGGTGTGGTGCTGCCGTACGGAAAAAACCGAGGGTCGCCAATCAACTAATGACTGAGGAACAACAAGCTTGATGACAGAAACGTTTCGTGTAAACTCTAGTGCCATACTACGGAGACCCGTCGGTCGGTCGAGAAGAAAAGGAGAAATTAGATCAGGTGAAAGAGAGGAAGCATCTTTTGGAGTTCTTCAGGGTTTTTACCGAAGCGACGCCGAGACCTCCCGACTCTGTGTCGTGAGAGCGCCCGCTTTTCCTCCGGTAGGAACGTTATTGCATTTCTCTGAAGCGGGGATTTTCCCTTCCTCGCAATCACTCGCTACTGCCCTTGGCCATTGTATTCCGTGACTTGAGAGTTCGGAGCGAGCTTTGCAGAATGACCTTTGTCGCAAAGCCGCAGAGCTAAAGCCGCATCTAAAGTCGGAATTTATCGCGGTGCTTTCTGTACTGAGGACGGAGGCCATTTTGTGGCAGAGTCGCTTTTAACGACGAGTTACCTCATCACAACGCCTACTCTCAACTCTGTTCCGGTGGTCAGGTTTAAAACCCATGCAGCCGGTCTGGGCATCGCGACCCAGACGGATATCGGGTCCAGCCCGAACTAACAGTCGAGAAGGAGTTGATGGATGCGGCGTAGGTTTCATCGATCCCTCTCGAGCTCTTCCTCGAGCCGACATCCGCAGAACCTTTGAAAAATTCGACCCTGAGTGGCGAAATTTGTTTTGCTCTCTCAAAGAAAAAGAATGGGGCCGCAAATGATTCCCTGTTGGAGACGACATACATTACGACAGAGCCGCGTCCTAGTATTGACAGAATTCAACTCCGCGTATTCCGCGTTACTAACGCGGACTGGAGCTCTGTACTCGAAATCCTTCCTCGAGCCAATGCACGAACTCTTTTGACGTGGGTGGACATCCAGAGGGCTCAGGCTGATGACATCAATAACATCGGGCCGGCATGGGCAGAGTCTCAGGAGCCAATATTCGAGTTTCTGCTGAATTGTCAGCGGAAACGATAATGATCGAGGAATTCCGCGCAACGCGTTCTTTTCCCTGAAAATTCGCGACTGAACGAAACTTACTCTCGTGAAAAGCACGATCGATCTCCCGGAACTCGCATCGATATTACTAAGAGCAGGTGATGAGTGACACCCACCACTCACAGTAGTTGTGAATCTGATGGTTCAGTGGATGCTCTCGAATTTCGGGCTCATCCAGCCTCTATCGTGAAAGATCGTTTCCTGCGCGGAACTCATGATGGGCCACGAGCTGATAATAATCAAATAATCACATGGCTCGGGCACGAATGGATGCTTGTTTGCATTATTTGCAAGGGACCCCGATCTGATGAGCCGATGCTGGCATCATGTCGAGACCGCGAGAGAAATACATCGATATTTCGCCCGGTGCGAAAGATGAGCGGTTCCGGGAGGGCTCGTAGCATGCTCTGCGATGTTCTCGGCGGCAACCCATACTGGGTATTGTTGACTATCATTCACTGCCACCGACAGCGACACGTCTATCAGAAGCTCGGAAAAGTTACGAATGGAACGAACGATCGTATACACACTCAAGCGTAGAAGATCAGCGCAGTTTTATGACGCAGTAACGATCTCCATTAATCGCCAACCGACCAAGTGAGAAGAAAAAGAAGAGGCCGCCGCCTGCCCGTCCGTCAAACTGCCGTTGACCTGTAAAACACCTCTTGTTGTTTTTCGCTCAACGGAACCCTTCCCCTGTCCCATTCTATTCTCCCCGGAATCAAGCAGTGGGAAACCCCTATCCCGGTTCCCGGACGTGTTCTTTGGGGTTTGAGGGCCAGAAACGTTCCAATTTTCTTCTATTGCATATATCTTCCTCGTTGCGCTCCGGCAAGCGGTGAATCCAGCTGCGAATCCTTGTCGAAGCCAGGGATATGAAAGCGTTTTCCGCGGCCTCGTCTTCGGCAATCTTTTCCGGGGCTTTTTTCAGAGACGGCAAATTCACCGACCTCAGAGCTCCAGCCCGAACGTCGCCTGTTGCCGTAGAATCTCGATCGAATACCTCGGCGAGGTGTGTCTCTGTGTGCGATGTTCGTTTGTATTTCCTCCCGCAGTTCCTGTCGATCACGGCTGTTCCGACCAATCCACAACTGGGCTCTAATATAGAGGGCAAGTTGACGCCGTTCCCTCAGAGGACGGCCCGCGGTAAAAGTTTCTGCGTTATATGATCGGAAGACCGCTCCGTAAGGCTGCTTCATAAATTGGATGGCACGATCGGCCCATCAGACTGCGGGGTTCCGGATCGGAGCTGTAGGAGATGCGAGAGACCGGACCGGGGGAAACAGGGGCGACTGACGGACCGACCGGCTGGCCGCTCTACCGAGTAAGCAAACGTCTATAAGCTTCCACCTCGGAGCGGCGAAGATGACACGACTCTTTTTCCGCTCGTAACAACATGACTATCTGTTGCGTACAGACGGCATTCGTCCGGTCAGCATTCGAACGTAAGCCGCCGGCATGTCCATTCCGTCGGGAAAGCAAATAACGTTCGAGCAATGGTCGCGCGAGGAAGACGTCACACAAAGCTGAAACACCGCGGATTCATCTGAATCCCGAAGAGGTTCGATCGGCTCGACGACTTTTCCCTCTGGTACGTGGTCGAATCGGGGAATTTTCATGCTCGGTCGGAAATTTCGTACGTCTCCGCTTGGATCTCCGTAAAAACGCATTTCGCTTGGCTCCGAGACCAAATTGATACCCGGCGGAGATGCGGAAGCAAGTTACGTGGGCGGAAAATGTGCGAATCGTTCGATTATATAATAAGAATCGATGAGGTACGCAATTCGCTCGGTAGCGTCTTTGACAGGCGGACTTCTCGCTCATGCCAGCCTTGACCCAACAGAGAGAGGCTCACGTTTCAGTTCTCCTCTGTAACACCGCTAGAGAGCAGTATCTCGCGATGGCAGCAGCTCTCATTGGGGAACGTGTTGAACTGCGGCTCGGTCGGACTCATCCTTGGCTGCATCGCCTCTCGACTCTTCACTCGCCTGTTCGGTTCTAGTTCCGTCAACAAGCACTCCACGCTGACGTATTGGAGCTCGCACGCCACACCACAATATGAGTGCTTGAAACGACTCACGACAAACTCGCTGACACATGCGGGTCATGGCGTTACCCTAAAACCATCCAACTTGTTCGCCATATTCGTCCGCTCATAGCCTAATTCCATCCGTGGAGGCTGTTTCCCTCATTCCTCCACGGAGATCGAATCGCGAAAATAGGCTGAAGCCGGATAAGGACGTTTTCTCGTCGCGCCGTAATATCTCATTATTCAATCTGGGCGGCGAGAATGGCGTATGAGAGAAGCATCGAGGAAAGCTCGCTCCAGTCGAACAACAACCGCGGCTTCCGTCTGTTCTCGGAGATCCTCGATGCTCGAAAACCTCCACCTCGGGACGAGTATTAGAAGTCGACAGGCCCGAATTTACTCGGTGCTCGACATTGTGGCGTCCAAGGAAAGGGCGAATGAAAGAGTGAGAAACGAAGGCTCGGAGCTCACGACTTTTATCAGGTCACAACAACGCTTCTCTTTGTGGGATCGATGATTGATGCGAGACCGAGAGCTCGAAAAATGAATATCAGACAAGGATCTGTGACTCGAATGGAAAATTGATTGGCGCTCCTCTCGGGGTAACCGTCCTTGAGGACGACGAGCGGATATTGGCCCTCTAGAGTGAAGCCTTATTCTGACTTTCTTAATCAGCTGACAGGTTTCAGTCGTGGCGTCATATCCTTCTTTCGGGCTCAACTCCAACAAGAGCCCGAACGTCTCGCACTCGAACGAGTACCCAGCCGAATTCTTTGAAATTCCGTTTACGACACCGGACGTACTTTACGACGTATCAGCGCGTACGAGTCGACGAGAGGCTCGTCGATGAGTTCACGTCATAGGCTCCGGGAAAATGCGACTTCTCGGCAGCGGAATCAAGGGGAAAACTGTATCGATAGGAAACCGTATTGAGTGGCGAGCGTGGATGATCCCCGACCAGTGCTGTGCGCTGTATCCAGGACGCGGCGCGCGGCGCCATAGACTCAATGCTCGGCGCGGCGCACAGCTCTGTCCCCTAAGCTGTTGACAGCTCTGTTGCGGGGAAAAGGATCCGCAGGCGACCCCGATCTTATGGCTGGGATCTTACGCCAGTCTGACCCTACAATCCAGCTCTACCGCGGGAGATGTTGGCATCGACGAGTGAGGCTTTGTTTCCACTTCCAGGTAGTTGCCGGGCGTCTGTGAGCCTCAGGTAATGTCCTATCGAGCAGTCTCCGTGTGGTGGGTGGTCCTCTTCCTCTGCACATTTACGCTGACGCGTGGCTCTGACATTATAAAATGGCCCCTCCAAAGATCGGCGAACCTGCCCGGAGACATAATGCTCGGCGCCCTCTTCCCCATTCACGAGGCCAATTCGTCTTTCGAATGCGGACGGATACAAATCGAGGTAAACGGAGCATAGGTGTTCGAATGTCCGACCTTGACCGCGATGGAGGCGGCGCTGGGATCGATATTTGACTCGCACATTTTCAGGACGAAGGAGTTCAGCAGCTGGAGGCATTGCTGTACACAATCAAGAAAATCAATGAGGATCCCTCCATCCTGCCAGGCATTAAACTCGGACTAATTGCGTTAGATTCATGCGACAATAGCGTCTACGCCTTGGAACAGTCACTGGATTTCATCAAAGGTGGCCTTATATTCGTCTTTCTTCCTCTTTCCTCCGATTTACCCTGCCATCGGTCCCCCTCGGATCCACGATTCATGATTGAAATCGGCTCACGAGTCGTGCCCAATTTCATGGATTTCTCTCGTACGTAGGTTTCATAGCACGAAATAATGTATACGACTCTGGGAAGGAATTCACCTGCTCCGACGGATCGGTACCCACCTATAGGAACGGCTCGTTTGACCGTGTTGTCGGCGTTATCGGAGGACAATCAAGCTCGGTCTCGATACAGCTTGCCAATTTGTTGCGCCTTTTCAGAGTTCCTCAGGCAAGTCGAGTCCGGCAAGGTGGAGCGTTTAATGACCGGCGTCCTCAGGGCTGTTGATGACGGCGGATAAAGGGAAAAATTATTATTAATCATATCAAGCAGACAAGCACTCCGGTTCGCGATTTCAAATGAGCTTGATATCCTTCCAGATTAGCTACCAATCGACGAGTCCCACATTGTCGAACAAGGGCAGGTTCGAATATTTTTTTCGAACCGTACCCTCTGACACAAATCAGGTTCTCGCCATCATGGAAATTCTCAAGTGAGTAGGAGCGAGACCCAGGGCGCTCCTGCCGGGAGGTCCCATTTCGTTCTAGCGCAGCACCCTATCCTGACCGGGAATCGACCCTCGGCCGAGAGTTATCGACTGCGCGAGAAAATCCTTGACAGCGTCTTCCTCTTCCAGACGGTTTCAATGGACTTACGTCTCGATCGTTTATTCCGATACCGACTACGGTAACCGGGGATATGAGAAACTACAAGAAGTGGCCGCACGGTACAACATATGTTTCTCAAATCCTCAGTCGATAAATGCCGAAGTAAACGACACCAAATACGACACCGTGATACAGAATCTCATGAACAAAAGCAACGCACGAGGTTCGTCGAAAATTTCCCCGATCGATGAGAATAGCCAGAATTCCCCGAGATCCAGAGGTGCATCGAAAGAAGATTTCAGGAATATGACTGCTGATCCCCACCATCCCCATTCTCCCCAAATATGTACCTCGCTGTAGGCAGCTCGTGGGAGAGCTAGGGTGCTCTATCATTCATTTCCCTATTTCATTCCAGTGGTGATCTTGTTCTCGGATAAGCAAGTTGCTAAGAAGCTGATGAAAGCAGCTTATCGGAAGGGTGCTTCTCGACAGTTTGTGTGGATCGGCAGCGATGCTTGGGGAGGTTTGAAAACGCTCTTCGAGACGGAAGGGGAACGCCAAGTTGTCGAAGGAGCTATCAATGTTCTTCCCAAGCAGAGAATTTTGGCTGGTTTCGGAAACTACTTCAGGTCAGCTGCTTATACAACGCTTCCTGGATCACGATAAAGTTTATAGTCGAAGTTTCTGAAGCATGTATACGATCGTTGCAGGAAGTTGAACCCGTCAGAGCATACAGAGAATCCGTGGTTTGCCGAGTATTGGGAAGAATTCTGGAAATGTCGCCTCCAGGGTTTTCCTGACACTCCATTCAATCGAAATTTCACCACTCGGTGCGCTACGAACACGTCCATCTTGACAGACGAATTCAAGGGACTGCACTTCGTTAGAGATGCAGCTTACGCTTTCGCATATGCACTGCACAACACCCAGCGTAAATGGTGGGGAAGACTTTCGGCTTTCGATTTGAATTCAAATGTCAACCTGCGTATTCGGAGGAAATGCTCAACTTCCGCTTCCGTCCCATGCGGTTTTCTTGATGCTCGATTTTTTTCCCAGGTGTAGGAACCAAACAGGCCTTTGTCCGAAAATGTTGGAGAGGATCGTTGACGGCTCCGAATTGAAAGGGGCTCTCGAGAACGTGACTTTCAAAGACGAATCCCAGAAACCATTCCGATTCTTGCCTTCCGGTGATGCCCCACCCAGGTCAGCGAGAACGTCCTCGCATTCTCCAGGCACTTCTGACAAATAGGCTTGTCCTCGGCACGATAGAAAAATCACCTCGAGATTCTCCCGAACAAACATGAATCCAAGAATTTCACGTCGGGGCTTGCCGATTATTCCAGGTACACGATCATAAACTTCCAGAAGGTGGAAGGCAAGAACGGCAGAGCGACGTATGTTTGGAAGCCGGTTGGCTCGTACGATCGTGAGTAAAACATGTCGCGAGCAATTCACTGATGATGGACATGAGATGGGATCCATTCCGGGGGCGATAGTCAGAGACAATAGCTCACGCCTGCATTGCCATTAATTGCGTCATCTCCCTGCATGCCCGCGAACCAGCGAATCATTCACGTGTACATTAGCGTTCCCCGAACTCTATTTTCCTCGCCACACCTCAACGTTAACCCACGCACCCGCAAGTCCCACCTCTGTAGGGGGTTTCTGTACTGGCGAGAATCGTCTCACCATCATTCATCTGGATTTTTCCTTCCAGCGAACGATGATGGAGAATCTCACCTCGAAATCCGGCGCGAGGAGATGAAATTCAAACACGACAACCCGAATTATCCCCGATCATACTGCTCTGAAGCCTGTCGTAAAGATCAGGTAGAGAACTTCTCACGAATTCGTGGGCCGTCGGAGGCACTGATGAGAGAGCATTTCCCCGTCTGTCGGAAGAGCTCAAGCCAGAGAGTTGCCTCGATCAGGTCATAAGGTCATGAAAAAGCGAGGACTCCGACTCTATTGAATTCTTCGAGCTTCTGAGGATGCCATTCTTGCAGGTTATGCTCAAACTCGAGGGCGACACATGTTGCTGGATTTGCAGCAATTGCAGTCAGTATCAGTTCCTCCGCGATCAAAATCATTGTGCGGATTGTGAATTAGGTTATCTTCCCAATGAATCGAAAAATCGATGCGAAGAAATCCCGGAGGTCTTCCTCGACTACGATAATCCCTGGGCTATTGGATCAATTTCATTCGCTTCTATCGGTAAGGTGGATTATCCCCCCCTCCCTCCATACGACGAGGTGGGGAAAAACCGCTCAATTGACGCTCAACTCTCATGCGTTCATCATGGGATCGTGACGCGGGGATCAGCCCCTGCAATGACTCTTACCTCTCTCTCACAGGGATGCTCGTAGTCATCTACATTTCGTTGGTATTCCGACGTTTTTCCGATACTCCGATCATAAAGGCATCGGGACGCGAACTGTCTTACTTGCTTCTCTTCGGCATTTTTCTATCGTTCTCATTGACTTTCGTAATCGTTGCGAAGCCGACAGCTGTGACTTGTGGTCTCACTAGATTCTTCCTTGGTGAGTTCTCTCCGTGCTAACGGAGCTCTGAATAATTGTTTCTAATTTTCCATTCTTCGACCAGAGATGTTCCATCATTGCGAGTTGAGCATGAGCAAGCTTCTTAGCAAGTATTCGACCAATTTCAGGTTTCTGCTACACAACGTGCTACGCCGCCATAGTCACGAAGACCTCGCGCATAGCGAGAATCTTTGCTCACGGGACTAAAGGACGGTCCCACAAGATCCGATACACGTCTCCCCGTTCTCAACTGTTAATTACGGCATTGTTGGTGCGTACTACTAAACCCTCGACTCCATCGGAGCGAAATAATCGTCGGTCTCGCCTATTACGTATCTTATGTAGGTCAATCGATCATCTGTTCTCATACAGGTCAGTGTCGAGGTGATAGTGAATGTTTTATGGCTGATGTACGATCCTCCGGACGCGACGAATATTTATCCCACCCGAGAAGAGAGCGTCCTGATCTGTGCCAGATCCGACGACCACAAATACCTCATCGGTCTCGTGTATCCTTTTATTCTGATGTGTAAGTACAAAGAGAATCCGGGCTCCGAGTCGAGAAGTTCCCGAGACGTGGACCTCGCTGACGGAGCTCTCCTTGCAGGTTTCTGCACTGTGTACGCGTTCAAAACTCGTAAGTGTCCGGATGGCTTCAACGAAGCGCGCTACTTGACCTTCACAAACTATACGACATGCGTTGTTTGGCTCGCATTTCTGCCCCTGTTTGTGCTCTCGACGAACAACGCTATACGGGCAGTGACGTTGTCGTTTCTGTTGAATCTCTCGGGAACCGTTCAGATATTCTGCCTCTTCGTTCCCAAAGTGTACATTGCTCTATTCAAACCAAGTAAAAACACCAAAGAAAGTATTATGTGCCATCACAACCGCATAGGACAGCCTTTCTGTCAAAGCTCTACTCTCAGTCGATCGACGGGAACTCTCTGCTGTAATGGTGAGTCTCGAATTTTCCATGTCGCTCACTGCTCGACAGTCTTCCGGATCGAAACGACGCTTCCATCTGTCCTCAAAAGCTATGCGCTCGGTTTCAGCCCAGCTGAGTGGATCCGAAGGACACATCAATCGATTTTGCCGTGACCAGGGAGGCGGAGGAGGAGGGGGAGGAAGCGTCGGCCCAGGAGGAGGAGGAGGAGGAGGAGGCGGGAGTTGTTGTGGGGGAGGGGACGCGGTGGTTGCGTTGACGTCCTTAGAGAACTCGAAATCGAGTATTTTTCTCGTAGTGCCGCAAACTGACGCCGAGATCCAAAGCATCACCAGCAGTGATTCTCAAAAGGAAACGCGTACGCGGAACAGATCCTGTACGGAACGGGACTCGAAAGCCATTTAGCAAGAAATGGCCACCATCCTCGATTTGGTTCATCAATCAAGGCAGCTCCCCATTACCAGTAGGGCTCCCTGGAACAGCGCTCTACGATGCAGGAAGAAATCCTGTTGCGAGGATGGTGCGCTGGTGCTAGAGGAAACCCTTTGAATCATTCCTTGCCCTTCCAGGGGTATTTTCCGGCATGCAAAGGAGAGAACGATCGGAGGAGAGAAATACATATGATGCGATTGAACAAAGCAAATTAGGTATCATCACATCATTGAAAAATGGCGAAATTCTGGTACTGAATGAGTGGAGGACGTAAGGTGACGGGTGGATGGTGGGAATGGACCCGAGTTCCTGGAACTCGCTCAGGGAAGAATATATGATGCTTCAGAGGGATGCTACAGGTATATCGTCAATTCGAAAGGAGCGTAGATGTCACCAGATCACCAACATCTTGAAATACTCATACGAGAATCTGCTCCTATAATTACTGAAATACCCTGTAAAAGGATGACATTTCGATGTATTATTTCGGAAAACATTCCATTGACCTCGAGCGCTCGTGCTGCGTTCTTATGACCCTGAGGAGGGAGGTTTTCGAATGGACTTTGAGAAATACGTGTTATCCGGCGGTGGTTGAGAATCTTAATTGTGAACCTCTCACAAGAAAACATAATATATTACGTAGAAGAGTCAACTTCGAGTTTTGTATAAAGTTCCTCGATATCTGACAGAGCATTATTCTTATTTTCCTCTCGAAACATCCGAAGAAGAAACACGCCCGAGACAGGGGCGTGCGAAGGACTCCCTCCGGGAGGGTGGGAAGGGGGGGGGGCAAGATTTAGGGGAGGCAATGGGGCTCAAGATGATGACGCGCCTTCCCGAATTCTCTACTTTAGCATTTGGACCGGAGGCCATCGAAAGGAAGTGGAATGACACCCTCGCCCCGCTCTGGGCACGTCACTTGAGCCAATCGAGTGGGAAGCATCGATTCCACTGAATCCTGCAAGATTATGAGGAGTGGGAGTGAGGACGTCCTTTTCGATGGAGAATACAGGTGAAACTTTCCTAGGTATTTCCTTATCAATACTTGGCTGAAACCATGTCCGCGAGTACGGATCAGGGAGTCAAGTCGAATCGAGACAAATAGGATGATAGCAGCACCCCAAGGCCGAGCGAAAACAAATCGAGTCGAAAATTCTGGAAACTTGCATGTGGCCCGCTGAAGGCAGACCCTCCGCCGTGCGTCCTCTGAGCCGCTTTGTGTCTGCTGTCTTGACAACGGGTCTCGTTCAATACGAGGGCGCTTTGCTCGAGCGACCTCGACGCAGCTCGCTGTAATCTTCTTGACGGCACCGATGAGTTTCTGACGCATTGGCTTCAATGACTGTGCTCGCTAAGGATAAGATCATCTTTTCTAGACTTCAGTCATGGCCGTTTTCAGCGCTGCCCGAGTTCAGATGGAATATGCTCAGGAATAGGCTGTGAGAGAAGCTGTGCGATAGATCAGTCTCATTTCATCCGTCGTGAGCGATAGGTTAAAGCACCCTCGGTCCCCGCGTCCTTTCTCAAGGCTCGTGGTCGAGGCTCCCGATTCCGTGTGATCGTATACCACTGCGAGACGTGAACAGAACGATGAGTCTGACATCGGTCGGTGACAGTTCGGATGAAGATGACGAGATCTTCGAGCTACCCGAAATTCAACCCGCATTCGTTTCCTCTCACAAGAATATTGACGAATTCAAACATGAGATCCTCCAAGGGGACAATGGAATGCTCAAGGTGAGTAGTATCGCGAATTCTCCGGCTACCGCTCGTCATTGGCTCGTTTATGCTTGCAGTCTCCATCCCGTGAAAGAAAAATAATTATACTGATAATAATCGCTCTGAGTCGGGGGATCACGTGTAATGAGATTATTTCGATGAGCCAGGTGTGCAGTGGTGAGATTCTGACGGTAAGGATACCTACGAGCGATGATGGTCGCTTCATCTATTGGGAGTTCGCCACGGATGATTACGACTTGGCTTTCGGAGTCAACTTCGAATGGAACAAGTGTCCAGACATCGAAGTAACACTGGATGTCAACGACACGGACACAGAGGAGGAGGATGACTTCTGGGCAGATGACGAGCACCTGACGGACGTTGTAAGTGAATTCACTGGAAATGTTCACAAGATCCCCGTTGAAGACAAAAGTCATCTGAGCCGTCCTGACAGGGGATGGGCCCTACATAGCGCGACGATGAACGGTCATTCATATATTCGTAATCTTGAGCTCTGAAGATTAATAATCGGTAGGGATGTAAATTTTTCGCGTACCGCGATTTTTCCGCGAATTTTCACGGAAATTTCCGGCTACTCCCCATAGAGTTTCAATGAAGGCCGCGAATTTCCGCGAATTTGGCGGAAATTTTCCGCGAAAAATTTACTTCCCTAATAATCGGTCATCAGTCCTCCTTGTTCATTCCCGATGCGTGATTCAAAGGTGGTGGGATTCCTCTCCCTTGCAGAACGACATCGAAGCACCGAAGAAGGACAAACAGAAGGAAGAGCCTCCGACGTCCGTTATCGTGCCCGTCTACCGCAAGAACTCGCATGAAGAAGTCATCATCGGATCTCACCGTTACCCAGGAAGAGGAACCTATCTGTTGAAGTTCGACAATTCATATTCGTTTTTCCGCACCAAAATCGTGTACTATCGATGCTTTTATGGACAGTGAAGCCGCTGGATGAGCTTCTCGCGATTTCCGCGACGCTTTCCGCACGAAACCAAGAGCGAATTCCGTACATGACTGCAAGTATTGAGAGGTCCCGAATCCGTCCCCCGTAATGCCTCGAACTATGCGGACGTCTCGAGCATGAGATCTTGATTCGCCGAGAATCGCACTGGTTCAAGTCTTATATTGTGATGAAATAAAAGAATGGAGTGAAATAGGCGCGGTTCGTATTAGGAGGAAGCGTGATTCATCTCGGGAGCATTTAAGCCTGAAATCTCTCACCGAGAAACCGGAGACGGAAGAGAGAGCATAGGCAAGCGTGATTCCTTGGGATATCGACCGGTTTCTGTGTAGAACGGGGTGGGAAACAGCGGCTCTGACTCGCGACAATAGATCCACGCAGAAACAATGCTCAGCTGATAAGCATAAGAATAAATAGAAGTTTTGCTGATCGGGATTTTTCGGACCGATAGCTCGCCGAGTGTTCGGTGCGAGGTGATTTCTCTCTCCATCTTGAAGCATTCGATGCGGAACGTCTCCGGTGACTATTCATCAATTTCCCCGGATGCGCAGATTCGAGGGAAAAGCGGGGATTAGGAATCTTCCGATGCTCCAGACTCAGGACTCGCTCAATTTTCGCGAATCGCCACTCAGCTTTATCAGAATTCGAGAGCAGAATCGCTTTTTATTTCCCGGGAAAAACTGTCTTCGAGAAGTGGATGACCGAATGTTCGAGTGTGTTTTCCCTGTTTTCGGCTGCGAAGCTGGCTCCCAAAACTCCTGACAGCATCTGCCAGCTTTCCCATGCGTGCTAGTGGTAGAGGAACGAGATCGAAATGGGAGGGCCTTGTGTAAGTCCCACCCCTCCGTTCTCCTTGTTCGAAGGAGGAGGCAGAGGAGACTTCGGCATCGTTCGAGTACACGACGATGGACGACACCTCCGACCTGTCGAAAGGATTTCTCCAACACATCGAGAGTCTCGGCGGAATTCGAATTCTGAGTTCACGAGAAGATTCTCACGACGACGTCAAGGAGCTGATGAGCTGCTCTTCGTTTTCTGATTGCGACTCAAGTGGCGACGAGGATTCACTCAAGGAGCGCCGACGAACTTTCAAGACTCGACAAAAATCCGCCGTTCATCTTGCCCATCAAGTCAGTGAGGTACGTGATGTGCAAAGTGTTACTCCGCGGAGAATATCATGGTTCTAGATCGCGCTGTGTTCATTGCCGAGAGCTCCCGTTGACAGTCTCTCACACTGGAATATCGATAGAATGAGCCGCCAGTCGGTCTCCGATTCATCCTCGCGTCATTTTCGAGGCAGGTTCGTTAATTCCTGGGAATCAGCCGTCAGTCCGAACTGGACCCCAATCGCGACTCGATCGCTTCTCGAAATCGAGTCAGCTGAATCGATGCCTTTTGGAATATCATAAATAGGACGTCCCGGATACCATAGGTCACTTCGCCTACCTGGATCTCTCACAATCTGAACAGCTTATGTACAGAGGGTCGAAGAATCATTTCTGGGGCGATTCCCGCGGCGTGGTGCGGCCTGCATTTCCCAACCGCCCCCGTTCGAGCTCGAGGGATTCTTGGGAAATGAAATCTGTCCGCAGCGCGATTTCCTCTCTATCTTCCCCTGCAGTCCCTGCTCATTCGGAAAAGAGCACCGTAATTTCGCGGAATCCGGTCGAATCTCGATGCGATGATGAGTTTTTGATTGGGCATCAAGGAACAGGGGGATGAGTAGGCAGCAATCGAATCCTTTGCATAATTTCTGAATGCCCTGTCCAAAATTGGGAAATTCTCCGGGGGAACAAGTCCTGTAGTGTCGGTCCCCGCCGAAAGACTTCCTCGTCGGAAGAAGTGCATTCCTCAGATGCCGTCAAGATTCGTGAATTCTCGTCAAATGGATCATCCGTGAGTCTTGATATTTAGTGGAGATGATTTCCATTCATATCCCTCCGAGTCCATCATGCGGAAAAGGAAAGAGGGCTTAGAGGGCTCTGAATCTGGACCGTGCTCTCTCTTTGAGACGACGTCGATCCTCGACTCGCCTCCCCATTCTCTCGGAGACAGATGAATCACCGTTATTCGGCGCTCTGCATTAACGTACGCTGGATACACCCAGTGGGATAAACGTAGCGTACATTTTCAACAATGCACTGGGCCATCGAGCGAGGGAAGCTTCGCTCACCACAGCCGAATTCATCGATTTTCTTCATCGATCCCCTCTCGGTTTGCCCCACAACGTTTGAGTTTGAATCGAACCTAAAGTAGGATTTCTCGGGGGAAACTGAGAACAATACAGGGGTGTTCTCTAGATAAGCTGGGATCGTACAAGGGTTCCTATGGAGAAGCTGAGAAACGTACAGGGAGATCTCTCCCCCGCCCGACAAGAAAAGCAAGAGGAGTTCGATCCGCCTGCGACGTCCGAATCGAGACATTCGTCCGACGGAACCTTACCGAAATATGGTCGGAAATCGTTGTCTCCGAAGACACATATGACCTAAAGTCCCCTCCCGGTGAATCTCGGCCTTCAATCTCTCACGAATGGCTCGGATGGAAATTATCATTGTTTCCATGATAATAACCCCTCCCTGAACCTGAGCGGCAGCACCTTCTGACGCGGTTTTTGGGCTCGGGTCCCGGCTCAGAATTCCGAGCCATGATTTCTCAGATTCGAGATCAGACTCACCGCATACGGCAGGGAAACAGAGGGCCACGAAAACGTCGAATAACTCATCAAATAAGATTATGGCTCCGGAAGTCTCCTCCTCACCGCGCATGTGAAACTCCCTTGAATATCGCGTGGATTACATTTCTCACGGATAATTTTCGCCCACATGTGGACCCTCATTGACCCGAGTCCCGTACGTACTACAGACAGTATACACGATCTCGAATCCGTTGAAATCTCGTCAAATTCGACTAAACTCCGTACGAGAGGTGAATTTCGGAACTGATTCACGACCCCCACTAGCCGAGACATCGTGTCTGTGAAAGCCCTAGATCTTCGCCAAAAGGTTTCGCGATGGCCAGGTATGTGGCGCAAATTCAGTGGATGACCCAAGAAACCAGGGTTCTATGAAGGAAGCCTCCGCCGGTGCTCGGAGTGAAACAGCTCCTGAGGAATCCCTCCTTCTCAGGTCGCAGATCTGGACATGGATGGATTCTGGCGGATGACGCTAGGTGCAATCGATGTGGAAAATATGCGCTCCATGGATTTCTCATTGCGGACGAGTCACTCGAGATGTCACTAATCACTCACGAATATAGCTCATAAGCTGATTGCTCGCCGCGAACGATTTCAATTTCTCAGAAGATTCGTACGGGGGCGAACTCAGCGGACTCGAGGCTTGCTTTTGGGCACCCAAGGGTCACTAATCGAGAATGTCAGCACGCATGGCCTGCTTCGTTAGGAGGGGCCGTCATTGGCAAGAGACGGACAATTGGGTGAAAGCGCCCGAAAATTGTGACAATGCCAAGAGTTTCGAGACTGTGTGGGTTTCCTATGGTAAAATGCTCATCCGTATGGTTTCCTTCCACAACCGTCGACATCAGCTCTGAGATTGACTGTCAATATTCGGCGGCCATCAGAGAACAGAGGGAAGCACAATAAATTCGGCTCCCCAAGCTCTGGCGGTCCGTAGCCCTTCGGAAATCGCTCCGGACCAAGAGAAAATCAAGAATACCTAAGCTATACATGCTCTTATACTCGTCTTCGTGACTCTAGTTCTCGGATCGTTCCCCAAATCACGATTCTCTACAATGAGTCTCATGTACTCATCTCGATGCTAGTAAGATGTGCCACATCGGATCATCCGAAAGTGCATTTTACCCCGACCTGTTCCACTCAATTAGGAATTGAACTAGATTCGAAGCGGCTAATTGGAAATCGGAAGGGTGAAGGTATCAACCGTCGGTGCGACCTCACGAATGCCCCCTCCAAAGAGACAAGAAACCTTTTCTGCGCAGTGTGCGTCCCCGTTTGAGATGGCATCTTCAATCACTCGATGACACATATAGCGTTTTTCTTTAGCGGATGTCCTCGGTTGAGGGAGGGAAACGTGCGGACGAGCATATTACCATAGGATTATTGAAACCCACACAGTCTCGAAGCTCTGGGCATCGTCGCAATTTTTCGCCGCTTTCACCCCAGTGTGAGACGTTTGCTCTGGAGGTTTTCAGTGATTACGGACGACTTCTACCGATTCCTGAGGATTCTTGACTCTATTCGAGACGTAAGACCAATTCCCAGGTAGGGTGTTCGAGGGAAAGATCTTCGTGATTCCCACGATTCAACCCGATCGATCGTAGAAAACCTACGAAAATATGATCAGGCTCCGAGCTGGAATACTCGGTTCCGCCCCCGAGGTTCGGACCATCGGCGATCCTCGCGAATGGAACAGGGGGGCTGCATCGTCGCTTCTCCTTCTGCATAAATCGGCACGCGTCGGGGCAAACATCATTTGAGCAAGAGCACTTTGCCATGCCCTGCGGAGATTCTGGCCGGAGCTTTTCACCGGGTCCCCGGCAGGATTCTCCTGAGGCTCCCTTTGCGGGAGGACCGAACTCGCCTGCTGGCCGAAGACGCGATTTCCAGTCTCGGGGTGCCGGACACAATCACTCTCTGGCGCCGTCCGCGGAAGCGACACATTAAGGGTGATATTCGGTAGCCGCGGCTGTCGGACTCTGTCGAGAGAGAAATCGCCAAAGGATTCCGGAAAGGTCGAATACGGTCACTGTCGTTGGTCGACCGGTTGGGTCTTACTGTTGTAGATTCGAGTCTCGTGCTCTACGTATCACGATGGTCTCCGAAGAGCAGTCCAGGGAGCATCTCAGTCTCCCTGGAAACTCGACCGCTCCATCCCTGTCGTCCGTCCGACCAATGACAGAGCGCCGCTTGAGTGTGATAGTGTTCTCTTCTGAGAGCGTGTTTGTATCGATTCTGGGATCTTTCAACGAAAGTGTTTGCCGGGATATAGTATCAGCTAATTGTTCATTCACAGGCTGTCTTCGTCCCCGGCAGTTCCGGGCACTTAACTCTCTCTATCGAATTAATAGCCGTAGTACGAGAGTGTGTTGTTGTGGTTGTTGGACGGGTCGGGGTCGGGTAGGGGAACCTCTCTGGTCTCCCCCTCCTACTCGGAATAGTCGGAGGCGCAGCGGTAGCGGCATGAGCAGCAGCTTAGTTGAGTGGCAGATATACAAAGCGCTTCTGCCTCCTTCTCACTCTGTGTAACAATTACCTTGGCGGCACTCCCCAGGTGGGCTACTGGAGAAATCCCATACATTCATTGCTGCCGAGGCATCCATGAACGTTCAATCCATCCATCCATTGGTTCGTTTGTTCTTTCATGACTCGAGATACTTCTTCTCACAGCTGTGAATACATGGGCTCGCTCACTGCCAGGCATGCGGACAGCCTGGTCTCCTAGCTGTCTGCGTGGTGGTAGCGAGCCAGGAGCGCGAGCTCTATCATCTCATGACGATGATGGAGGCAGAGTTGCTTCGAGGGACCGAACGATAGGTCGCACGAAAGTATGCGTGTCGAGATGCTCCGAATGGTGGGATTCGATGCTCTGTGATGTTCGGGAGAATCAAATCGTTTTCATTATAATAAGATTGGTGAGCAATCGCCGACGCTCCACAAATTTCAAAATCGGAACATCCATGCTCCCGATCCCGTGCATACTCGATTCTTGTCTCTCTACCGAACTATATCGAGCCTTGCGACAGAGCTCTCCCTCAAAATGAACATCGAATGATATCCCCGGCGGGACGCGCGGAAGCATTCGCCGGTGCATGTGCTCTTGGCACATGCAGCAGCGAATGCCGAAATCGCTCATTCACCGGAATCGCCTCGGTCGGGTTTCTCTCCTCTCGAAGCCTTCAAGCGAGTTCGATACTTACGCAACAATTTCAGCAGGGTATCCCTTCGCGCGGGAATCTTCTCTCTAAATTCTAAATTCTGAGCCGATTCGAAAGTCATCTAATCACATCGGATGTGAGGTGGAAGCGAGACGAATTCGCTAATCGTCGAGACCGGATGAGGATAACGGCGAATCGCGTGAAGCTCCTCGGCCCCGATTCGAATCCTACAGAGCAGATTTGTGCCGACGGAAGAACTCCGCTCGGGAATGATGTCCCCTAATCGTTCGGGAGCAGCTCAAATTGATACTTGCCATTGTTCGATAGATCGGAAAAAATAGAGAACTATTGCAGCTGTCATCTGAAAGTGTCACAACGGAGCCACTTGTGGAGGAGCCGTGGATAAGCTCCAGATAAGAACATCAAGTATTTGTGGAGAGCTACATCGCGGAGGCCAGGTGCACAAAATCCCACCTGGAGAGGGGGAAGGAGCGAGCGAGCGAGCCGGGACTCTGATGGGGAAAAGGGCTCCTGCCAGGGCAATCGCTGTACCTAGAACGCCCCCATCCAAACAAGCGAAGCGAATTATACCAACATTCGGAGGGAGCAGATATGCGGAAGGCTCTTAACATGGTAGCTCCGCGGCCCACCTCCACCCGCAGTGATGATTCTTACAATCGTTCTTCAACGATTCTCGATAGTTTGTTTGAGGACTCCAGCACGGTTCCAAGCTCCACGGCCGGGTGGGGCTTCTTGGTCGCGAGGCGCGACGGTTCTTTTCGGACGGAACCTTTTTTCACGAAGCAGATGTTCCACTGATAGAGAATTATCATGGTGAGCGATTCCTTAATTTTTCAGGCCCACCAAAGAGTAGCTGCTAATATGCGGGAAAGACGGAGGATGCAGTCCATCAATGACGCCTTCGAGGGCCTGCGCGGGCACATTCCGACTCTTCCGTACGAGAAAAAGCTATCCAAGGTATTTCGGTTCCGGAAACTCTCGCTCCGTTTGCGAAAATCCGACCACCGGCATTCTTAAATTCATTCCCGAATCGGGAACTCCCCCAACGTTCCGATTTGAGTCCTGATCTCCTACCTCCGAAGGTGGACACTCTCCGACTTGCTATCGGCTACATTTCATTCCTAACGGAACTCCTCACCACGGGCCGTAATCCATCGGAAACAAGAGCCCATCAGCAGCGAGCTCTGAGCCAGAAAAAAATCGTGGTGAAGAGCAAAAAGTGTAAGTGTCTTTCACCATAAGCATATGCATTGGATATGATCCCTGAATGTCTGAAGACCGTCTGAGCACAGTTCGCTTTCCACAGCCGGGGAACCGGGCGTCGTTCTGTATCATTCGCTTTCGTGGCACTCGACCAAGCGTCGATTCGCTCCGAACGCAAACAATGTCGTATTCGCCAAGACGTGGCGGCCAGCTAAATACTCAGGACCATGCGAAGAGAGATCCCGCTCGAACCAACATGAACCGTAGTCAGGATGATTGACAATCGATTCCCCGTGCAATAATATCGAGTCTTCTCTCCTTCATTCCTGTCAGTAGCAATATTTCCACCAGTCATTCCCGAAAGAATGAATCAATAAATCTTTAGCAGCATCTAAACTCTCGAGTGGTCTAGAACCTAGCTAGGGGGGAAAGTAACAACAAAGGCTCTCGATTATACGCGACCGGCCATTTCAGTTCAAGATACGCGCGGATGACATAATTTCGCTAAACACAATAGTCCCGATTCTCTCTCTCCTACGTGGACAAAGCCTCCATCGAGTAAGTGTGTCTGGCTGATCCTCAAACTCCACGGCAATGCCACTCCTCTCAACGAGGGGAATCGGTCCGATTGACATGGGAAGTCCACCCAGAACGGGAACTATCGTATCGTCCGACACCTACATGACAACAGAGCCATCCGCAGCTTGGGTCCTGGCAGATTCCTTCTCTTGCCGAAACAGGCTGAATTCTAGCGGGGATCCTCGCGGAACACGCGGGAGGGTTCGGACACCACTGAGACACCACCGACGGGTGGTCGAGTGGTTAGCGCGTTTGTCACTACTCGTGCAAACGTGCATAGCCGCAACGACGCCGCTCGCGCGGGAGGCGGTGTGGGTTCGATCCCTGCTGCCGGAAAAATATGCAGGTACTCGGCCTTGATCCTCCTGGGTACATTTGCTCTATGGATCCGTCCTCGGAAGCAATGTGAATAACAGTACCCGGGACGTTAAACCTTGGCTGTGTGGATCAGCCCGAAAAAGTTTTTTTGAGTTCACCGTATCCAATGGCTCGCAGTCGGAATCAGATATCTGTTCATATCGTCCGTCTGAGGAGCGTCGAGAAGGGTCTCAGATCCAGTCATGTTCATCCAGGACGAGTGTATCGAGTAAATTAGGTACTTCTATTCATCTAACGAACACAATCCGACCTAAGTCTCGCGGCGGCAGTCTCCCTGGGTCCCTGATTCTTATATTCGGCAGAAAACTCGATTATATCACAGCTCGGACGATCCTGACAAGCGCATCGGGTGACTATTCGGCTCTCCACGATGTGTTCCGATTAGGAAATGCTGAAACAGGGGCGGGGGTCACACTTTGAAGGCTCGACCTCACGCTAAGAAGCACAATCAGGGCCGTCAAGCTGATCATCGCGATACCGCTGAGACAGATGGACGACGCGCTCAAAACGGGAGAACGTCGGTGCTGTGTTAGGTTCGTCACATTGATTCTTATGGGTCGAGGCGTCGGCTTCCTAATGTACTCTTCGACCGCCGTCGGGAAGGATGCGCAGGGAGTCGATTGCGTTGCGAGGGTCGCGGTGGTGATGAACGTCTCGGTCAAGAATGAGTCCTTCCCGACCATATTCTCACGCTTGCCGCGGGCTTAACTCATTGGGAACTGAGTCCCTGTAGACGACGACAGGCAGCTACGGATTCCCGGGAGGGCTTCGTTTCTTTCCCAGAAACGCTAAAATCTTCACGACTCTTCCCGACGGAGCGACTACCTCCATCACGAAATATCAGGATCGAGAGGAAGCGGGAACATTTCACACACATTTCATCCCCCAAGTCAGAAAAGTTCTCCGGGCGACTCCTCCGGATTGGTTCCAACCGCCAGTCACAATTGTTGCTGATGTCGCGGGCACCCAGCAAAGCTCTGGGCATGACAGGGCAAACTTTGACGAGCTCTTACCTAAGCACATTATCACAATGAGTCGTCTTATATCGGGGTTCACCACTCATGCAATCTCACAAGGGCTCGAGCTCGCTACGGGACGCCTCGAAGAATTCTCAGGATTCCGACGTGTTCTGAGTTCTGATAAACTGTAAGTCTGTCGGATCTACCGGATGGAGTCCATCGATTACGAGCGAGACTCTCGACGCTCGTTTACCTCCGACTGAGCCCCCATGGGTATCGGGAAGAGACATAGATCATGTGGTCAAAATGATTTGATTTATTGGCAGAGAACCGGGATTCCTGGGACTCGGGATGCATCTAATTAAAAATATATATTAAGAGTCCTGAATATCAGGAGCTCACCGAGACGGACCCAGTCCTAAAAGCTAGAGAATTCGGAGCTCCGGCTCGCGGAAGCGATCGGGTTCGCTCCCCCTTGCGCTGACTCCTTTTGTTCTCGAAGAGAATAGAAATTGTGCGTCTACGCTGATATCCAAAGGAGTCACAGTGATTGATTCCGACGACTTCATAGTGACCCGAGCTTTCAATGATCATCGGCACCCCACTTCTGTGGCCGCACGTAGCCGGCGAAAGTCTCTGCGTGACAGAGCGAGCGTCCGAGGAGAGGCCCGTACAACTTGGAAGTTTTAATACCGCCATCCAGAGATATCGTGTTCTCGTCCACGATTCGAATCGAGTCTTTCATGCGTCCCGAAAGCTTCAGGAATTCACTCGTTTCTTCGTAGGCCGCGACGTGACAGTGCGTGATCTCCAGAGACTGAGGAATTCGCGAGATAATATCGCGGAGCATCGGCGTCGTGAAGATATCCTTCGACCGAGATCCAAGGCAGAGTTGTTTCAACTTCTTTCCGGCAGCTAGAGCCTCCCAAAGCTCCTCCGAGTCCAGGGGTGGGTCGAAGCCGCAGAACTTAAAATTTTCCATGCCGGGGCAGTCCTCAATGAATTCCCGAATGTCATCGAAATGTATCATCTTGTTCACAACCAACTTTATCGTATGAGCCGAGGGGTTCGCCATTTTGCTCAGAGCTGGATAGTCGAGGTGAACCGTGTTGAACGTCAGCTCTTGAAGTTTATCGAGAATCCTCAAGTTCGGTGTATTGTATGGTCTCAATGGCGTCGTACATTTTTCGCATAGCCCGGGAATCCAGGACGGCTTCCCCGGTCGGAAGCTTCGGTGCATTTGCCCTTCGAGATGGAGTTTTTTCAATCTGAGTTTCCGAAGCCGGAACTCCAGGTTCTCGAATGCTTTCACTGTCTTTTTCTCCTGCCAGGTCCCCGCGAACGCTGGATCGACAGCAGGACGGAACAGGCAGAGCGGCATCGCTAGGCTTTCCAGTAGGGGCGAACGATCAGTCAGATTGAACCAAAACTCTTCCGAGAAGGTCCCGTGGTAGGCTGTGAGATCAAGCTCGACGAGCTTGGATGTGAAGAAGCCATTCAAATTCGGACGAGCCCCATGCACGAGGCGCCCCGCGTACGCGATGACTCGGAGAGATTCCGGATCTCCGTAAGGGGATTGTGGCGATTCGTCTTCTGTGCGTTCTGCCACCCATTCCTCGACATAGAAACGCCTCCGGATATCTTCTTCTTCACGCTCGCGGGGATATTCCGAATCGGTCTCGTAACTTCTCAAGATTTGGCATCCGCTCTTTAGAGCGGGCCATCCATAAAGGTACCGTTCCCTTCGGCTGCTATAGTCTACGGACTGGAGGAACTCGATCAGGAGAGATTCCGAAATATTCGCCAGGTGATACGAGCAGATGAATTCTTCCATTTCGTAGTGTCTGTAGACCAGACGCCCTCTTTCTTTCGTCTTCCCTTGCTCGACATTCCCAATTAAATTCACATGTGCGGTATCTAGACCACCGACGATGTTCATAAGTGTAATTATCTGACTCAGAGAGCTCCCCTCGATGTAGAGATTCCTGATAGATTCGAATGCTCCTTGGGGAAACTCTGGAGGATTTTCGGGATCCAATATTTCTCCGCGGTATAGGGAAAGGCTCAGCGATCGCAACTCCTTGCAGTCGACAAGGATCTCCAGCAGGTTCATTGTGTGTGGCCGAGAGTTGACAAGGCTGAGTTCCGTGATGTTCGGGCACGCTCTGATCACGTCGGGGATCCGCCATTCATCCAGAATGCAATGCGACAGATCCAGCTTACGCACGGAGGGTCCATGCTCATCGAGAAAGTCCTGCGTGCAGGTCCGTATCCTCCGTATTCGGACCTTTTCACAGTTTCCCGGTAGTAAGCGCCGCAGTCGAGCATCGATCTGCGCGAATGCTATCAGCGATTCGAAATCCAAGCTCTCCGCGATGCGGAAGAGATTTTCCTCCGCGAGATTATAGAAATGCATGCTGTGGGGAAGATGGCAATCGATTAAAATCGAGTCGAGCGAAATTCTGCTCGGGACCTCGGGAGCAAGATTATTTTCGCATACAGTCTAGGAAAAATGAGAGTCTCGGCTCGTTTTTGTTTTTAATGAATCCTCGGAAGCCCTCAAAAAAGAGTTAACTCACCTGGAGCATTCGAGGATGACTTGTTGAGATCACGAATCGATGCGCGATGCTATCGATCGAGGTGCGAAGTCTGGAAGCCAATTTCCACTCTCCACAAAATGGAACGACCAGAAGGTCTTTAATGCGATTCGAGATTTGAGATACATGTCAGTTTGCATGGGGTGCGATACTTTACAGTATCGGTCCCCCTATCATCCCGACATCAGTTCCTGAAGATCATCAAGAATTCGCGGAATTTTCGAAAATAAATTCTTTATTAACTCAACAGTTTCGGGACTGACTTCAGCGCTAGAATTCTCTGCGTTTCCGATCGGCCTGAGCTCTCCGATTCCCTCCTTTATTCCGTTCTTTCAGCGCCCGATTGCGGAGCACGTCTCCGCTCTGGCCTTGACCGCGAGCGCCACCGACGACATCTCGCTGCTGCGGTGGGGCTCTGCCCCGGGCTGCCATTCTGTCCTGATACCGTTGTTCGCGACGCGCTCGAGCTTCTTCAGGATTCTCACAGAAATCCATCCGTTTCCGCCGAGCAGTTTCTTCGTCCATATCCGATTCAGCTTCGTCCTGCTCCCAGTGCTTCTTGCGTCGATCGCCTCTGCCCGCCAGGATCCGTGGCTCCTCGAAAGCTCTTCCGCAGTCTCCGGTCGTTTTCTCGGGGATTCCAATGTCATTGGAGTCGTAGGTGTCATCGTATTCATCGTCGTAGAGTTTGTCTGTTGGTTGAACGACGACTTCGTCGACGACGTCAGTGTATTGCAGAACGATTTTCCTGAGGTTGAACTTCTCTGTTCTATCATCCAACAGATCCTTGGAGACTTTATTCTTCTTGCCGATGTGCACTTCGGCACCGTCGAAAGTCGTCTTTTTCACCACGCTCGGCGAGTTTGGAGGCGCAGCGGAAACTTTGAATTTCTCGAGTTCTGGATGAGTGTTGTTGTCCATGATCGCCGAAACCACTTCGTCGACATTTCCCCCGTAGAACTCGAGACATTTCTCGACGAATTCCTGCCGCAGATCGGGGAATATAGCCAGGACACTGTTCACCTCGTCGCTGACTCCCCCAACGGCTCCTTCCACGCAACTCGCCCCCGCATACTCCACCGTCCGGCCGTACACGTTCTCATCTAGAACCGCTGTTTCTGGAATTGGCTGATTTAAACTCTCCAGAATGTACTTCAAATGCGATTCGTCCATGAACTCGCGGGTCGCGCGGTTCCTCCGCAGCTCTTCGAAGTCTTCTTCCAGCGGATACAGGGAGTTGTAGGCTAGCATGAACGATTTCTCCGGCACGGCTTGCATGAGGGTGGCGTAGTACTTTTCGAGAAGGGGCACCGCGTCAGCGTCCGACAGGGAATCCGTCAGTTTTCCCGTGCATTCCTGCTCGACGTAGTGTCTGTAGACATCGAGGGCACATTTCATGCCTCGACGTAGCAGCGTCTTCAGATTGTCTTTGAATATCGCCACCAAGGAGTCTTGGCGGCGTTCGACCTCCTCATTGAGAGGGAGGAAGACCGACTCGAAGAAGTCGGGCATCGAGGCGATCGTCTCGGAAAACTTCAACAGTAAGGTGGGCGGGGCATTCTTGACTAGAAGCAGAAGCGAGGCCGCGGTCTCCGTGGCGCTCAGACAAGTCGTCATCAGTTGCTCATCGTCTACGGTTTTCAGCGACATCGCCGCAACGCACATGGCGATCGTCGTGACTTCAATGTCGCACGAGGAACTGCAGAGGTCTTTCAACGTCCCAATCGTCGCCGAGAAACTCTCGGCGGCTTTTCCCAGATCTTCGAGCATTTTCGGTTGGTATTTATGGTAATTTCTGAGTAGGTCCGTCAAGAGACGGAGTTTCGGCTGCACGAAATTTAAACCGTACAGAGTGCATATATCCAAAATCATCGCCGGCTCGAAAATGTACTTGTCGAGGAACTCCGCGAAAACCTCGGGCGACATATGATCGGACCGAGATTCGCTTCTGGTGGACATCCTCAGAATAACTTTGAAAGCTACATTATGGAGCTCCTCGCACAGAGCGTCGTAGGCCAGCGAGCTCAAGTACATCGGCGGGTCGAACCACCGTGGGGCCATGCGGAGATAGGTTCGGAGAGCGAGTCTAAAGTCATCATCGTATACGACGTGTGACCAGAATTTGTGGTACTCGGCTTGTAGGAGCGCTTCGAAGTCCATGATCAAATGTTGTATGCTTTGACAATGAGCCATGATCTTGAGGTGTCTCTCTTCCGTGATGTCGAAAGTTGCGCTCATGAGCGCGATCCGATCCTCGGAGGACGGGAAGATCGACAGCACTGATTTGTAGAGCCAGTAGTAAGGTTTTGGCTGTACGTGCTCCAACGATAGAGCCGGCACGGTCTCACTCCTTCCATCACGGATCACAGTTCTGGTGGCTTTCTCCAAATGAAGCCCGATATCTCGTTCACCATCGGGGCCACTTTTGGCGGTTGCCATCCCACAGAAGTCTTCTCTAGCGGTGGAAGTCGAACATCAGGAATGGAACGAGCAAGTTCGAGCAAGGCCCGGTGTAACCATATGTCTCGACACAACGTGGAAAATCAGGCCGTGTCTGGGATTGACAATGGCCTTGTGTCCGGATGAGGCGCTCACGCTTTTGCCAATGCTGGCCCTGGGTGTCTCGATCGTTCATTTCTCGTCCGGCGAATGTGAGTGCTCTCTTCCGAGACGTCGTCTCGAGCAGATCCTTGTGGAGAGGATCTAGCGAAACATAAACTGGGAGGGAATCGAATCTGCTCATTCATAGAAAGTCCATCGGCAATTTATTCTGTTTTCCGTCTTCAACGTCGTCTCAAAATATCAGATTTTTTTCTTCTATTCATGCGGATGAAATGTTCACGGTCTATTTGCAGCTCAGTCGATCAACGGATTGGCAGTGGTTGCGGAGTTCGAGACGAGAGATCTCCACAGGCAGTCTTAATGAAAGTGATAATGGCTCATGCAAATGGAGCTCCGCGTCGTTAGAATATTTTTCGACTTCGATCGCTTCTAGATTACACTTTGTACAGTTCAAGAATTCGTTAGTCACAAAAATACACGGATATATGAATATATATATATATATAACTTTTCGTATGCAGATACCTAAAAATGTCGGTGGTGTTGGCAGTGGTGATTGTCACGTAAGTCGCAATTCATCATTTCATTGTGCATATCGAAGGTACGGTCGTAACTATCATATGTTGAGTTTCTGTTGGATTTTTTTTCAAAATTGTCCGCAATTCCTCCTGAAAACGAAGATCCAAGATCATTTCCAGTGAACTATTGAGGCATGCGAGGGGCTACCTGGAGAGAGTTCAATCGCGTTGAAGATGGAAGTAAATTCCACGTACCATGTTGTAACAATAAACGATCTTAAATTTGTTCCCGGGCTTCGATAAAGTATTCGTGATCTTCTGCTTCTTGTTGTTCTTCTGTGTCACGGGAGCGGCAGCGTAAGTCAACAGAGTTTGGTTCGCATCCGGAAGACAGAATATCTGTCCTGGCTCCGACGAGTCTTGGCTGACGGCCTGGAAATCATGACACGCCTCAATGAGTCGAAATCGTGAACTGTTTTTCCGATCACGGTGGATTATTCACAGGCCAGCTATTCTACCCTCTGAAATCGGGGCGAATCATCGCGATCACTTACAGCTGCTAGCCCACAAAGCATGCGACAACAAGCACATTCCATGGGAAATGTGTTTTGTTCTCTCCTCTCCATCGGGACACCGTCTTTCTCCAAGGCATCCCAACTGTTCCCGAGCTCCTGGGTCATCCGGCTCAGGATTTCGTTCACGTCCCTTAGTAAAGCCTGTTCCATCTTGCTGCCTTGGGTGGCTCCAGCGATCGCCATGTTGACGACTAATTGCTCCAAGCAGAAGGTCGGTGGTTCACTATTCTCTCGCAAGGTGTTGAATCTGAAGCGGGTGGCATGTTAGCGACTTTCCCCCTCAGGCTGCCGCGGAGAAATTACCGGGAAATCGGTCCGAAAGAAGGCCCAAGAGCACGCAAGTCGAATGCCTGCGAGAACGTACCTTTCTCGGCAGTCGGCAAGCCAATCATTCCATGTAAAGTAGACGCTTTCAGAGATGCTATAGCCGCAGCTTACGTTCGAACTATAGCACCCGTCGAGGATCACCATAATTTCTCCGGGTTTTTGCTCGATCCGCTCCAATTGGACTCCACGGTCGAGTAGCATTTGGGGTGGAATCAAGCAGGCGTCCGAAGGGATGCCGACATCACTCTGATGGACGTGAGGGGCGAGTTTCGACACGACCTCGTGGAACCGTGTGGCTTGACTCGCGGGAACCGAATACCAGATCCGTGTCGCGCCTGTGGGGAAAACGTCGAACTTTAGTCGGACGCTTGCGATTCGGTTTCTTCCACTTGATCTTCTAATCGCGGGTGTCCACCTACCGCTGTGATGAAAGTCCAGCCAGTTGACGTTGTGAGGATCTCGGTACCACGGCAGCGCGGTGAAGAGCATACTGACGTGGAGAGTCGGGGTCGTCACACCGGAGACGTTCCCCAGCCATCTCAGGACGTTGTCGGGGTGTTGGGCGAGCGTTTTCGTGTTCCAGGGAATCACTCGCTCGTTTTTTACGGGACTGTCTTCAGCTTTCCGTTTCCTCTGCTCGGGGAGCGCGCATTGCGGCTGAGGGAAGCCGCAGCCATATGCCAGAGTGTCGATGTTGCCGCAGTTCACGACTACGTGTCTTTTCCGAGCTTCGACGATTGCCCAGAAATCGTGCTCCACATCCTCAGAGAGAACTCCCGAGTCTTCTTTGTACCACATTGTGTAAATGTTCCGAGCGACGCGTTCGAAAACCGCCAGAGTCATGTTGCGACCAGGCCAGACACATTCGAGCGTTTCGTTCTCGTCCCAAATGTCCTCCGAGCGCCGCCGCTCGTGGTCTTCCTTCACCTGGAAACAGAGGGGTAGACAAGTTCAATACTGAGGATGAGGAATCGCGATTGGGGGGCTCCGAGGAAACGGATGAACCCGCCGATCAGGGGTAATTCCGAGGCTCATTGGGAGACTCGGGGAAAGGAAAATCAAGGAATCTCCCAACAAAGCGCAAGCTGGCGTTTGAATATATCGACCTTTTTGAAGACCTCCTCCTTCTCTTGCTCGCTCATCACTTCCAAAGGTAGGCAGTATCTCATATAGGCATCGTCGAGACGAGCGACTCTATCGTGCGCCATCCGAGGGATCCGCATCGTATCGGCGACGCGGACCCATTTCTTCTTCTCCATAACTTGTTGGATTCCTCCAAAGTTCTGGACCGTGTTGTACAGATGACCGACGTCAACTTCAACCCCCCCGATGAGGGGGCAACCTCTCTTGTGCAGGATTTCGTCATCAGTTGATTCAACCGCATCATCTTCCCCTGGAAAAGGTTCGGGAAGGAATCTTCAGTATTCGCTATGAAAGGCATCGGACGCCTCTTTGGTTTCTCGCCACAACATCTCGAGAATCGATCTTCGAAGAGGCATAATTAGCGAGAGAGTCTGGGATACCCACTTGTTTCTTTTCCCTCGGAAATCTTCACAGCTTTCCGGAGACAGGCGTACTGTAGCGTGGACGGTCCCCAACGTCGCCATAATTTGTGCAGGAATTGATTATAAGCTAAAAATCTCATATCATTCGAAAGTCGACAGTCCGCCTTGGCAGTGCTCTTGCAATCTTTTAATTTCGGAGTCACGATTTTGAACATCGTATGGTTCGACTTGTCGATTGAGGTCATTTTGTCCCTGATATATCTGAGAGGATCCTGGAATTCTTCGGCCGTGGGCTCGAATACGAGACAGGTGGCCATTTCGCATTTCGCCGGCGGAGGGGTGTTCGTTTCCCCAATCGACCATCTGACTTGGCTTTTGCGATTCTTCGTCACTTTTGAACTCGAGGTAGATAGGTCCACGGAGCTGGTTGACTGGAAAGACGAAAATCACCATGAAGAAGGAGCTGACGTAAGAGGATATCCGAGAGAATTTTTCCAATCAGAATTCAGATCAGAATATGTTCCAAAACCTACTTTTCTGAATGACGTATCACTCGTCCGTGAAATGACACTGCCGCTGGGACTTCCGCAATCGGTCATGAAATTGAGTGTGGCCTTTATTGGTGTATCCTGGACAGGCGACGTTGAAGTCAAGGTCGAGAGACCCCCGAATTCACCTTCGAATTGGGTCGAGAGCAGACCATTGAGCGCTCTTTCTTCTTCCGGCGAGCTGATCAGGAACATCGAGTTCATTCTCTCTGGAATAGTTTCGAAACACGCGTTCGAATCAGTCGTCGACTATATCGCGTAGCGGGTCGATAGGTCGACCCGTCGTTTGGAAGCGTCGCGCACATCTCGGGTGATCGTCATTCGAGATGTGCCACGTCGAATGTATCGACCACGGATTCCAGACATATTTCCGAAATATCGAGAGCTTTCCGAAGATTGACTTTGGGGGGTCAGTCTCTCTGAATGTGATTGGTGGTGACCGGGCATAATCAATTTATTTGAGCCTTCGAATAATTCAATATGCAATGAGCTTCTCCTCCCTCTCACCAACTCTGATAATACTTTCTTCCGACAGACGAGAAATCGGACGAGCATCGATCACTTAATCAATTAATTACCATTGGACTCCACGCTGTCTCTGGCTTCAGGTCTGCTCGCGCGTTGTCGAACGCTCTTCCGCGACGAGGTGCTCCCGGGACAATCGATCGAAGTGCTGATTCTTTCCGAGCGTCGCTTCTCTATTCTCTTCGGTGTTTTCGAGTCGCGAGGATTGCTGGCGGTCTTCTTGGAGAGCGACATCTCATACTGTTTGAGCTTATACTGAGGCCAAATGGGCAAGGCGACCTCAGCAATAGGCCCCAAACTTCGAGTCGCTCTCCTCTCGTCGTCGTCATCATCATCATCATCGACGTCTTCGTCGTTCTCTATCCCGTTCCTGTGACGAGTGTGTTTTCCCTCGTCGTCTCCATCTTTCTCTGGCGCTCTCGACGGTCCGTTCGTCTTCGCTCGTCTCACCAAGCTTCTCGCAACCACGTTAGTTCTCCGAGAATTCTGTTGCGTCCGTCGACTCTGAGATCTGATCAACGCAGTCCGCCGCTGAGCCACGCTATGATTGAGATTGTCTCCCGGATCGCCGTTCTCGTTGGCGTTTCGCGATCTCCGTTTGTTCTCCTTTTCGATGAGCGCGACCTTTTTCTGTCGGAGTTTCAATCTCTCGGCTCGTGACGTGGATGTCGAACTCCGACTATCGCTGCTCGACTGCCGGGCCGAAAGTCTCTGGGATATCCCGATGCTCTTTTTATATTTGGCTGAAATCAACTTGGCGACGTGGTTGACAAGCTCCTTACGGTTGTTAGCCGAATCTATGCTGTCGGTCGAATCTCGTAATCTGCGGGGTGGTCGGATCTCGTCGACGACTTCGGACAGCTTTCTTTGGAGGTTACGTTTTGTTTTCGCGAGGATATTCGACTTCTCATCTGTCTTCGTCTCGTAGCTAGGTGGGTTTTCGAGGAATTTGAGATCGTCGGGGCAGAGCGACGTGCCTCTGAGGCAGAGGAATGTTAGAAAATCTTCGGTTTTACAGGTGGGTTTCAAGGGGGAAGTGCTTTGCGTGGCAGCTGCGGGGAGAATCAACGGAGGGGGCGGATTCGAGGGTCCAGGAGACATGAAAGCCTTGATCGGGGTGTTCATCGGCGACGATGAATATCCACCGTTGCAATTCATGGCGAATTTCCGTTGGGCGCAGTACTTTCTCCGAGGACTCTTGCTGATCTCTCGCATGGTGTCTTCGAGGAAATCTCGACGTATTTTCATCCGTTTGTCTCTGGCGGGTCGCGCGTCCACAAGAGGAGCGGCGGTTCGCGTCATTTCTTTACATTTCGTTCCTGTCGAGCGTCGATCGGCGCTCTCGTTAGATTTGCTCCTGGCTTCTTTGGCTGGTGATCTGACACGTTCACTCTTCTTGTTTGCCCCACTCGGAGTAGCGCTTGCGAGGGGCGTGACATGGGAGTTTGTGGGTTGGTCGGTTCGACGTCTTCTGTGAGTGGGAGAGTCCAGTTCGGACCCGCTCCGTTTCGGCGGGTTCTTCTTACTTTCGATCAAACTCTGTTTGAGCGCTCTCTTCAAAGCCGCACTCTCGGATAAAATATGGCCATTCGCCTGGACCTGAATAGAATGATGGCAACCATTAATACATGGAGCTGGAAACCCTCAGGGTAACGCAAGCTTCCCTCGGTGGGGATTCTGCGCGCGCGCTCGTACTGCTCAGAAATAAGCGAAATTCGAGCGAGAATCGACGTGCTTGCGCCGCTCCTCGGTGCGTCAGCAGAGCGTTCTGTCGTGCCGGGTGGTTAGAGGCACGCTCGAATGATGTGCCGGATGTGTCAACTCACCCAACTCGTCTGCACCCGCGTCCTGCGGGACCTTCGTCCGTCGTCCTCCATCTGCAAAAGCAAAATTCTGTTTTAGTCGTGTTCGACGAGACTTTGGATAGTTCGCCACGAGGCTAACCGCTCTCGACTCACACCGACAATGACGTTTGACCATTCGAAGGTGGTTACGCTTCTCAGAAATAGTAGTAGTGGCAGCGGCAGCAGCAGCAGAATAAATCGCCGCAACAACCGTCAACGGGTGTGCGGGGCCGTTGAAGCTGGCAGACAGCACAACTGTACATTTACGCAACGGCCTTCAAGAAAATATATCCGAATGTCGACATCGGCATCGAACGATGTGGAATCTCGCCGCAACCTTTTGAGATGATGCGACCTGATTCAATTCGGTGATCCTTTCGTTGGATGGCGGCAAGATTCGATACCACTCTAAAAGTACTCGACTCCGACGCTCGAGCGGTCTCGTCGTGTCTGGACGACGAACACTCTAGAACTCTGCACAGAAGATACTCGAGGAAGCGTGTCTAAGGCAGTTTTGACATGAACGTCTTCCGATACGTCTCTGTTCATGTTCAGTCGTTGGCGCAATCCCCCTTCCCGTTCCGAGCGATATCGGATAATCTCGTTGCGAGTTGAAAAGCGCCTGAACCTCTGCGCCGAGTCGGCAGTTTCCGACTTCCGGGCTGAGGTTCAGGAGAGTCGGAATTTCCCCGACTTGAAACAAGGCCTCCGAAAGTTTCACTTCTGAGGCCTTAGCCGTTGGGGCCTCTGTACCTACCTTTGAGCATTCAGGTATCGTTGAGACGAATTTTCACATTTGCTCGCCGTTCAGTTCACAACTTTGGGGTCGGGAAACCGGGCAGAGGAGGCGCACATTCACACAGCACTTTCACACACATGAACAATAAAACATTTTCGGCCAAACGTCAGCTTCCGGGGCTCGAGTTCGAACTCTCGGACAGACTGAGTTGATGCTGACGATCTTTGTTGTGTGTTGTTATTTTTATTATGTTGCTACAGCAGTCGAGAGTTAGTTTTCGATCCGCTGCTGCTACGGCCGCCGCAGCCGAACCAGACGCCGCCAAGGTGCTCGACAGCCGCGCCCCCTAGCGGTTGGCGCCAGGGGTACCTTCTCAGCCGCTGTCCTGCATGAGCCCATGGTGTCGTGATGTCCAGGAACTGGCTCCCTGACGCGAGATACGCGATAGCACCACGATCCGGAGGGACCCGAGTGAGAGCTCCTGAACAATCAGTCAGCTCGACGCCGAGCGGAGTGTTGGAGGCATTGAGAATATCGAACATGGTGCCTATGATGCCTAGAGATTACCGATTTCTGAGGCTGGATCACGCATCACGTCGGGTAGCGATCGAGAGGTATTGCTTGCTTTCGAGGATGCGAGGTGGCGGGGCAAAATCGAAAACGACGATCTCAGGTCAATTTTCACTCAGAGAGGGAGACCGCTCCACGGGATTCATGACAGAGCGATTGATCGCGGCATTCGCGAGTTGAGATGAGCAAGTTGAGAGACGCGATGAGTCTGAAAACTAGTCTGGCCCGATACAGGTTTAAGCCACATGACGACAGCATAGGGTCTGCCTTTGTGACTTTCGGTTGAGCAGGCAGGCTGAGGACGAGGGTCACCAGGTCTTACGCCGAAGCCGGAATAGAATCTACATCTGTCAAAAGTGGATGGTACCGGGAACCATCTGCGAATGCAACGAAGCACTTTCCGAGGGAGAGGAAGCACTGGAACGACTCGGACTCGACGAAGAACCCTCCTCGAGGATGACACGCGATACTAAGAGACTCCTACAGCGGTGGGAGGGAGAAAGCAACAACATCCGCTGAGAATACTCGCCCTTGGAGAAGAAGTGACACGGAAAATGAGCATGAGTGTATACAAATACCGAACAAAAGAGAGGTCTGAGCCGGTGTTTGCGACTCCTGTGCATCCGGGATGGAAGCTGTCGGTCGGAACTCTTCTGGTGTCGAGTCCAGGGAGATCACATTCAGACTCTTTCGCGTCGGGATGGTCATCGACTTTGATGACCTCTCCGAGTAGCGCGGCTCAAATCAACCTCCATATACCCAGTAGTGATCTTGAGTGTCTCCTCCCATAGAATCATCGCATAATTATGCGTGAATGTCTCCGTCGCCCGAGCGACCGTCGGTGCCCTCATCGGTTCATCGATCCCTGGTAGCACTTCTGATCCGCTCGCTCTGAATCAAAGTCTTCCATCTTTCTGCGTGTCTCCTCCGCATCCTAGGGTTTACCCCCGCACGTTGAAAAAATTCTCCTCTTCTCCGTCCTAGACAAAATCTGCTCCAGGTGGGCATATTCAGGCAGCTTCTTTACGGAGAGATCATAGGCTGCGGCCGATCGCGTATATCCTGCAGATGGGAAAGGTGCGGACCTGAAAGCTCCAGCTGATCCCGGGTCGGATTTGACGCACTATCGAAGTGTCCGAAACGATTGCTTTCGACTTACGCGCGAATAAGCCTCGATTCACGAACTTGATCCGTTTTTACAGAGGATGAACTGTTATCAGATTAGGATCATGATTCCCATTAGTATCCCAGATTGAAGAGAATGATCCGTTCCGAGCAATGAAAAATGACCCCCGAAATCGACTTCTCCCCCGGAAAATGTATGTATATAATCAAATAATGCAAAGCGGTATTCGGGCAAGTGATCGAGAGGAAGATTCGCGGTCAGCGCGTCGATCTCTTAATGCATCAGGGGAAGCTCTAAGGAAAATCGTTCGCCAATCGAAACCATGTTCGTAAGTCGGAGCGAGTCCTCCACAAGATTATTCGTCAATCGAGTCCCGGTTCGCAAGCCGAGCCAAAGTCCAGAACGAGAAGCTCGTAAATCGGAAAGATCGTATATCGGGACGTTCCAGAATCGGGGTTGACTGCGCAAACCTCGTATGAAACTCAGGATTTTTGCTGTCTGATTATATCGGAATAAATCAGAAGGCGTCTACTCTGGCATCAATTCTGAGCGATGGTGTGCAGAGCAATCGTTTAGGATTGAGACGGGCTGACCAGCGAGAAGCCCCACCTTCTTCAATCGGGGAGTGACTCTGTCAGACCGCATTTCGAGTGCTACGTCGGAACCGTCTGGTAAGTGCTACGCAGTGCTGTGCGCCATCCGATTTTTCGCGGCGGCGGCGTCAGGCGAAAAAAGAGGCGGTGGCGGCGGGCGCCGCGACGTTTTTCAGCGGAGTTGAGACTCACGGCGCGCCGCGGTTCTCTCTTACCCGAAGCGAGCTCCATGGGGAAATTAGGTCCCAAGGAATGAGCTAGGGCACCAAAGAGGGAATAAGCTTCGGAATAGCGAAAGTAGGAATCGAAGAGCGAGCTCATCTTAGGTTCCTTTATTCTTAAGTCACTCATTCTGCAGGAACTCTCGATTATCGTGTATGAAAAGACAAGGCGGCAGGCTCGTCATTCCTATTTCGACTCTTGATGTGCGGCGAGGAGTCGACAGAAAAACTTATGAATCGTCTCGATTCTCGGATGATATGAGGTGTCGTCTACGATTCGTATCATCGAGCGAGCGCATCGAGCTCGGCCCAGGTTCTCTTTCTTTGACTTTGATGAACAGTTCCTTCTGCATTCCCTCGATTCACTCCGAAAGTCTTCCGAAATCTTTCAAAAGGGCTCTTGACGATACACCATGGGGATCATGACGGCGCGCCGTTCCGCCGCAGGACGCCGTGCTCAGATCTCGGCGGCGGCGGCGGAGCCCAGAGCTCGGCGGCGGCGATCGCCGGCGATCTCGGGGCGCGGCGCACAGCTCTGGTGCTACGTCGGAACCGTCTCGTAGGTGTAAATCTGGCCGCAAAGATTCGCCAGAACTCTATGGTATAAGGGGGTTCCATGGGTCACCTGATACGTCGCGACGGAGGCTTATAAGTAGAGCTGAGGACTTCAGGCGCCTAAATATCTCGAAAAACCCAGGCGAGGGGCACTGAAAAAGGCAGGAAAGGCGCTGGGAGAACGCAAGAAAGGCGTCGGCGGTACATAGAAATCGGCATCCTCCCGATCCCATGATCCCATGACGCATTTGTATGGCACAAGGCATTTCACTCGTGAATGCTCGGAGATCTAGCGAAGCTCCTTCCGGTGCGAAAGAGAGCGTCGAGTTTCTGGATCGGATCGTGTTAGATAATTCTTGAGATTTTTCCCATGCGAAATCGCTCAAGGGAAGCCAGAGAAGGCACGCAGAGGCTTTCATGGCGAAGAGCATGAACTTCCCAACTCTTCTCAAAAGCGTTGAGTTGCATCTCTCTGACCTGCCAAATAGCGCGGAGCTCATCTCAGGGAGAGACGAGCCGATTGTCCTAGCCGTATGGGTTGACGATGGATATGCTGTATGCTGAGTTTCGGACTTAGCGGAGTGCATTGAATACAATAAGATGCGATGAACCGCGAGTGATGATGGCCTGCAGCTACACTCGGGTTTTCACACTCGGAGAGAGCCCTCGGCCGGTCCTGGCAGGGCTCACGAACGGTAGTTCCATTCGTTGTTCTACTTATAGCTTCGATGCAGCACAAGCTAATTTGGAGTCAGGAGGGGGCGTAGAATAGGCAGTGGATTCAGACGGGGCGCGCTAGGTGAAGTTGCGTGACTTTTGTTTGATGTCCACTAATGGACATTCAAATATTGCCATTGTCGTTGCTGCCAGTCTGGCGTCGTGTAGCCTTACGTTCAAACGACACGCCATCGGAGAGTCGGCATCTGAACGGTGTGAGCAACAGCCACCAACCATAAAAGATGATCCCGTACGATTGTTGCTCGGCTCCAGGAAGTCCTGAAAAAAAGTTGAGGTTGACTTGTAGGTCAGGTATATCACGAACGCGATCATGATCGACGTCATGACTCAGATCGTTTCCGTGAGAAGAAGAAAATATTTGCTAGCCTCACAAATCTCCGGAGGGAACCCCCGAGGACCATCGGGCGGGAACATGGACGAGAGCCTCCCGACAATGAGTCCGCGACCGGAAACCGCCGACCGGGTAGGGTTCGCCCCCCCTCTCGTGATATTCCAGAACGATCGTCGATTTCTACTCGAAACCAACAGCCGCAACATAAGAAGTCTCTGTAGTTTCGGTCATGGCTCTTTAAAGTGTTCATGGTTCAAATGTCTGCGAAAACGCTCCAGACTAGCCTAGTGTGTGTTGAGTTGGGGTCTCGCGGACGAGGGCGTATAAGCCATGAATATCAAACAGGCTTCTCCTTAAAAGTGAGTTTCAGCCAGCCTCGCCGCCCTCGCAAGCAGCTTCGGTAAGTTTATCAATATTGGCGAGGCTTTAAACTTGTTAGCGAAGCACCCCGAAATCCCTCAAGTCAGACATTTTGTCTGCCCATCCGCCCAACCGGCCGGGCGTCTTCCGTCCAACAAGCGACGAGCAAGCGAACTCAAACTAGTTCCTCCCCAGACGCCGCCGCCATAGAGTATGTACACGGGCATTCAGTGCTCTGATCTTGCGCCGTTTTCGCTTCTACAAAGGCTCCCGTTAGCAGAGCCCGCTAAAGTTTCGCTTGAGGCCAGCGCGTATTGGATCGCAGGCGAAAATAGGGGAGCTGAGTACAGGGATGAACGCCGGTCCGGGCCCGCCTGCGACGGGACGGGCCCGCGAGAGCGCAAGAGTGCAAAGGGTTTGGCAATAGCAAGAAGAACGCATACACACCCGCGTAAAGAACGTCTAGCTGGGAGGGTGGTGGGTTGCTAGGGTGCGCGTGCTGCGCCTTTATGCCAGGCAAACGTATTGGGCCGAAAAGTGAGCGTACGGAGTCCCTGGCCGAGGAGCGAGCAGCGCTAAATACACCGATCGATATCTGCATGTGGACGACGCACGGCAAGCCGCTCCGCGAATATGCAGCTTGGGATCACGCGCTGCATCGTATGGCTCGCGCTCGCTGTATGCGAGTCTCCTTTCTATTGTCAGCATGGGCATCTCGCCAGGTCGACGCTCCAGATGTACAGACTATTCGGTGTTCTCGATGGTCTCCCGGAAGATGTGAGCTAATATCGGCATGCAGCATAAAAGTTCTCTGTGCGCGCTTCAGAAATCGCTTCCGTTGAGATCATCAATGTCTCAATCGCCGCCATCGGTGATGATAAATCGTGCGCGAAACTGGAATTGTT